TTCCATTACCAAGGCGGGCATGAGGTTTCCAAGTACTTCCATTCTCAAGGTTCCCAACAATCTGGTAAGAGGGAAAATCAGGTCCACATCTACAAGAAGGAAAATAGAGGATCATGACATCTTCTTTTGCCTTTCTGATATCTCTGAGGTGAGCTATAGTAGTGATGATAGTCTATGATTAATGATTAGTTTGGAAAGAAAAGAGGAAAGAGGCTGTTGAAGTGATTGTTTGCCTGGATGGGACTGGGTTACCTTATTCAATCCTTGTAGTTTGGAATAAGTCTACTTCTGCCACAAAATACTTTGTTTTCTGTTTCTGATTGTTGGCAAATGAGGTTTTTGAAGTTTCTAAAGATATGGAAGATTTGAAGAAGGTTAAGGAAGCTGTAGTGGAAGATGGTACGAAGTTTGCGATCAGTTTAGTTCCAAATCGAGGCAAAGGGGATGTTAAAAAGACAGCTTGAAAGGGCTAGAATGAAAAAACTTGAGCGGCAAGATGGAAGGTGTATGGAAAAAGAATGGAAAAGAAGTGTGTTTTTGGAGGATCAAGCTTTCTTTCAAGAGTTGGGTTGGAGCTGTTTTGGCAGCCTGGTTCAGTCTGGGGTCTGCTTTCATCTCGAAGTCTGGGTTAGAATACTAAAGATTGCGTTTTCGTTTGGTTGGTGTTTTTATATTGTGTTTTTTTAAGTTTCCCTTTTCAGTTTAGTAATAGTTGTTTAATGATATGTTCTGCGACTTATGAGGCGGTGTTTAGTCGGTGTTTTTCAATGTAACTTTCTTGGGGTTTTGGCTGTTTTTTGTATCCTGTATTGGAGTTTGTACTTTTTCATTTCATCAATGAGAAGTATAGTTCCTTTGTAAAGAAGATTGTTGATGTCAGGCAATATTATATGAGTTAGATCGTTTCTGTGACTAACACTTAATTTTGCATCTTCTGAAAAGGAAACCTAACATTAGTTATGTTTATATCCATGTCTTTTTTGAACAAGAAACAAGTACTTTTCATTGACTATCGAAAAGTTTCCAATGATTCTTTTAGGAGTAGAAACTACTAAACCCCAAAACCAAGACTAAAATATTCTCAAAAGCAAGTAATTGCAAAAAACCTCGAGAGAGATGGAGAGCACTCCAAAAAGCCAAAAGGGTCTTTATCAAGCCAAGTTTTCCTCCCAAATATGCTCATTCTCTCCCTCTAAAAGCCTCTGATTTCTGACAAAACAAATGCCCAAGCCACGGATTTACAATGGAGACCTATACAACTCTTGATTTTCCTTCAAGATTGTGACCACAAGGAAGAATAAAGATGTTAGGTTTTGCCCAGAAATTGAACTCTCAAGAAACACACAAAAGATCTGAAAAAGCTTCCCAAGCACCTTCCGTTAGAACAATCTATAAGAACAAATGATGCTCCCTAGCGTTAAGACATAAAGAATAGTGATCTGGACCCAAGGACTACCCCTGGCTGCTTTATTTGGACCTTATTCACTGTGTTTAAGCTTTCAAAAAATACCAATTAGTCTTAAATGTTTACCTTGCTTGGAAAAATGTTTTCGACAAGGAAGATGATGCAATAAGCTTTTTAAACATTGATCTAACTGAAGAAGATTCTGACTATCCAAAATTCGCCTTCCCCTATCTTCCTCTCTAGAGAGAGAGGTTCATTTTAATCATTCCAAAATACCACAATAGTCGCTTACTTGCTTGTCCCTTAGTCTTCTACAGCGACTCTTCAAGAACATGAATCCTCAACCCAAGCGTCTTTTGACTAAAAAAATGCTCTGGGAAAACGAAGAGCCAAGTACAGGTTTTGAATCCAAGAGTCTTTCCATAGAAGTTTTCTAACCATTGCCTATACCCTGATCATGGAGAACTTACTAATTTTTTTTTTTTCAAACCACAACATATTCCACCAAGGGCTTCTACAATTTTCAGATGTCTTCATTGTTATGTATCACTTAGAATAATCACTTTGAAAATTGTTTATATTTCAACTATTCTTTTATGATGTCGATTAACTTTTTAAATAAAATGGAGCAAATAATCCACTGCTTTACTTCATGTCTTCAAAAATTGTCATACATATGCTCATATGTGTAGACATTTGTTAAATGCATTTCACATGTATCTGGCACATGTCAAAGGCATTTGATGTGGTATAATATGCTTCTTGTTATAAGAAGTGTGTTTCTGAATCTCTATACTTTCTTACTTTTATCTGTTCCGGTGCTGAAATTTTACTTGATTTAAATAAAACATTTTGAGGTTATTCTTATATTTAAATGTTTGATGGCAAACTGGACTCTCATCTGTTCTCAGTTTCCAGTAACTAACTGCGTAAATTTTGTTTGCTTTATGTTGACATAGTAATTACCAATAGGAGAGCATACTGCATACTGTTAACTTTGTTTCTGATTGGAAGTACCTCTCATTTTCTGCTGTTTGTAGTTTAAACGACATTTGATACCGAGGATTTCATTCAGTGGACACAACCGTTGGTTCGGGGACAACAGGGACTTTTAAACTCTGATATGCGGAGAAAGAACGCATGCGTGACAATCCCTTGCTCTATTAATTTGATAAGGAAACTCTTGGTTTAAACTTCTCACGTTTCTTTTGAATGATGTTTCTTGACTTCTTGGCACTTATTGACAATGATATTCTTGTTGTAATGGCTAAATATTGCTGGCGTCCAGACATGTCTAAATGTTTTCAGACATGTAATGGCTTACTACTATGTTGTTAGAGTATGTTAGCCTGGAGGATGTTGTGATGTGCGTTATTCTGTTTTTGCGCTCTTGTATCCTATCCTATATTCACACCACTTTTCCTTTTTTGATACCACACCTTAGTCATTCTATTGTGAAGATGTAGAGCTAATCATTCTTTTAGGGCTGTTACATTAACCTTCAGAGGCTGTATCTACTCATACTTGTATTGTATGTACCTGTTTTGAATTTGATTAGATGTAGTTTCAGAGGTTGTATGTACTCGTATACTTGTATGTATCTGTTACCGATTGATTAGATGTAGTTTCAGAGGCTGTAAATACACAAATACTTGTATGAAACTGTTATGAATTTGAGTTCATGGAGAGCTGTTTTATAGCTTGTTGATTTTTGGCTATCTTTCCAGTCCATGACAGGTTTTTTGTTCCATTCTTGATGGAGTTGTTCATCCCACTAGCAACTTGTTTATGATTCTCTTGAATTTTTGAGTTCGGATAGTTCTTGAATTTTCGTGCAAATCCTCCCCAAATAGTTTCAGTCATGTACTTTATTGGTTGTCTTTTGATGCACCAATAAATTATTTTCAATCGAGTTTGAATACGTACCTTGTGATTGATCTTTGGGTATTGTGGTCTTCTGCATAGTCAACATTACAGTATCTAACTAGCTTGTAGTTTTTGCTTCTTTTGTACAAAAGATCGTAGTCATTTGTACCTTTGATATATCTTAGAGTCTGTTGAGCCGCATTCTCAAATCCATTTTCTTGGTTCATGTAGATCTCTCGATCCTCTAACTCTCCATGTAAGAAAATATTCTTCACATTTATCTTACACCAATTTTAATTTTTATTTGACACTTGTTAGTGAAACCCATATGATAGTGATCTTTGCCAATGGACTAAACATTTCATTATAGTCTAGTCCATATTAACTCTCCATGTAAGAGAACATTTTTCACTTCTATCATTGATTTTTACCAATGGGCTAAACATTTTATCATAGTTTAGTTCATATTGTTGAGAGAATCCTCGTGCTACAATTCAAGTCTTGTATATCTCGATTGTTCCATCCGAGAGATGCTTTATTTTGTAACCCACTTGTGAGAGATGAGTTTGACATCTAATTTTGGAACTAGTTCCTAGGTTTGATTTTGCTCCAAGACTTTAATTTGTTATTCGATCGCCTTTTGCCAAGCTTAGTTTTGTGATGCTTCACCATACGTTTATAGCTTTTAATTCCATCTTCTATTATATATGTGTTGGCATACTTAGAATTTGACTTTCAACTTTGTCTAATTGTCTAAGTTGTGGATGTGTTATTTCATTTTCACTAGGTCTGCTTGGTTGTCCATAAGAAAATATCCCGGTCATGATCAAGGCTAGGTGATGAAAGAAATATAGGTAGAGAGAGAGAGAGAGAGAGAGATAAGGATCATGATCGCAATATGGAACGTTGTCGAGATTACGAGCGTGGACATAACCGTGATTGTGAACGCAGTAGGTACAAGGAAGATCGAGACAAATATACAAATCATCATAGATTGTATAGGAATTGTGAATTAGAGCATGAAGATGAGTGAAAAAGAGGGCCGTCATCTATTTTTTTATTCTGAATTACCCATCATAATTTTATACACGAAAATCTTAAAAACGTTTAGTCAAAAAAAAAAAAAAAAAAACTTTGGTGTCAAACGCTCAAAAAGTAACATAGAACCTAACAAGGGACAAGACATCACACTTGACTCATCTCCATTCCTCTAAAGATTCATCATTTTTTTCTAAAAATCCAATAACACACAAACCCTATTTTACCACGACACCCTCCGAGACAGTAGATGAAAAGGAATGTTCTTGTAATCTCTATGTCGGGAAGCCTGAAAGCCGAACACGTGGGAAAAAAACAACTCCAAAGGATATGATTCCGATCTTTCTCTGTTTGTCAACAAAGAATGGAACAAAATGACCTTAACGAAGAGGAAAACTAACTCGAAAGTCGATCTAGGTAGCCTACCAAACAACAAAGAATTTGAGTTTTTTTAGAATATTCACCTTACATATAATTGAGAAAACAAACTCGTTAGATGGCAAAAGGTTGAACAAGCAAGACAGAAGGAACGATGGGAAAAGCCCTAATAGGGCTAGGACTCAAAAGACAACTATTCGTTCTCGATATCCAATCTCAAATTATCTTATTAATGATAAGTGAGACATGACCTCAGTCATTTTTCTATCAAATAACGAACAATAAAAATTGTTCAGGTTGTCAAAACCCTTCAAAATAACTATTAGTTCTATTCTAACTTGTAGAAATAGTGAAGCTAGTTCGAATCTCGGTATTGTTCTTCAAATAAGAAAAATATTATAAAAAAGATGACATCATCGAGACACTACAAACGAAAACTTGAATGTTCGTAATTTGAGCATCCAACCGTGTCAAAACATTGTCCAACGTTAAACATGACGTTAACTAAAAATCAGTAGCGTTGAGACGTCCAAAGTGACATTAGGATCTGCTCGTGCATGTCGAATGGTTTGAGAGGTTAAGTACGAGCGTTGTTTAAATTAGCTTCCCAAATTCTCGCTCAAATGACTCGTTCAAAACATTCTAGTTTACTCCAAATGCTCGATCCCTATAAAATAGACAAATAAGAACGTAAAAGTATTAAAGCTAGCATCAAGATGCTAACAAATAACATATCTACTAAACGATATATCCCATAAACAACAAATACATCAAACATAAAACGATTTATTATAGAAGTCAAATGATACAAACGAGAAACATAAAGTAGAGGGTTCCATCCCCCACCCATTGGTCACTTTTCAACCGGACAATCACCCTTCTTCCTTCTCACAATAATCCCGAACTTCCGAAAGAATTAAAGTGTTAATGGAACTTGGAAGTGCTTCATGTTTGGGGTCAGTGTGGGAACTTCCTCTGGTTCTGTATAGTGGGTTTTGAAGAATTTTTTCACGACTCTTTAGAAAAAGTAAATAGAAATTTCACTCAAAACCGAACTATTGAACAGTTAATTTTCCACCGAAAAAATTTATCTTATTTCATCGAAAAACAAAAATAGTAGCAAGAAATTGACTAATTTATTTATTTTTAAAAAGCAAGTAGAAAATGAAAAGGGAAAAAAAGAAAAAAAAAAGAAAAAGGAAAAGAAAAAGAGAAGGACCTAAGGCCAGTGGATAGAAAGCTGAAATAATGGTTGGTAAAAATAATTTTACTATTATTTAATTATTTTATCTCTTTAAATTAAAGCTACCATATTAATAAAAAATAATTAAAATAAATAAATTAAAAATCTAATATTAATAAATTATAAAAAAAAATGAGAAAAAAAAAATAAATTTAGTTGGAAATTTAGTGTTGCTTTTTGAAATTTAGTAATTTAGAGTTAGGCGAGCTTTTGTTAAAATCAAAGCTCAATTATGCGGAGAATATCTCGAGCATTATTAAAAAAATAAATTATAGTCGTATTTCCAATATGTATACACATTTCGAATCTATATCAAAGAGTTGTTAGAGGGCTGTCACATTGTAATTGTGAGATACCACATCCGTTAGAGAGAGAAACGAAATTGAAAACCTCTCCCTAATAGACGCATTCTAAAACCGTGAGACTGATGACGATATGTAACGGATAAAGCGGAACAATATCTGGTAGCTTTTGGCTGATGTCTAAAGGAATGTATTGTGAGATCCCACATCGGTTGGAGATAGGAACGAAACATTCTTTGTAAGGGTGTGGACATCTCTTCTTAATAGACGTGTTTTAAAACCGTGAGACTGATGGCGATACAGGTTGGAGATAGGAACAAAACATTCATTATAAAGGTGTGGAAACTTGTCTTTAACAGACGTGTTTTAAAACTATGAGACTAATAGTATATGTAACAAACAAATGGTAAGGCTGATGACGATACGTAACAAACAAGCGGATCCCATAACGATTGGAGTTTTAAAGTCGTGAGGCGAGGCTAATAGTGATACATAAAGAGCAAACAAGAATTATTTGTTGGGAAAAGTTCCTAAAAATTATAAAAAAAAAACAACCGTTGATCTTAGAAAACTAAAAGTAAATCTCATTATAGAATAAATTGCTAAAATATGAGACAGACTAAAAATATTTTTGCAACCTTAATTGTTCATTTTGAGTTCTAATTAAAATAATAAACAGACATAATAATGAAGTTTAGGGAAATAGTGTATAGTTTAACCAAAGTTTTTATGAGACGACAAGGGATCATTATTACCCAGCCAATTGAAATCGCAAAAGTCTGATTTGCTTCACAGATTAAGAAGAAAAATCAAAGGAAGAGGTAATCAACACATGTTCTTACCACTACTATAACATAAAACCTTTTTGAAGTTTTCAAAACAATCAAATTAAGAACAGAACCAGTTTAAGAAACGAATGAACAATTTCAAATTACAGATTATGGATTGAACTTCTCAGATTTTGTACCTGATTTTCATACTTCAGTTGCAAACAGTGGAAACTCGATTGAAGCCTCTGGAAATATCGATCTCGATCAAGTTATCTTCCTCGTTGATCTCTTCCAAAAGCTCCACGAATCCGTTCTGTTTCAGGACAGAATCCGGTAACAAATCAGGCAAACACGTCTCAAGATTTCGAACTAATGCTCTGTTCGAATCCGTTCGAATCGCGTCCGAGTACGGAAGAAGAGGAATTTCGATCAAGCTATCGTCATCTTCGGAACTCGAATCGTCAGAGAACGGAAGATTCCGAGCCAGTTCGTCCAAACACATCCAGAGATCGGACTCGAAATCTCCGCCACTTTCAAATCCGCCATTGCTGCTACTATCATCGTCAGAAGAAAGCTCTTCTCCGATTTGTGCTGCGGATAGTTCTTCCACTGTTCTTTGAGGCTTTTCGTCGAACAGGTGGCCAGCGGTGGAGATGAGAAGCGGATTGCGGTCCGAGATTTGACTGGAATCGGATTTTTTGTTTGCGAGGAAGAAAAACGAAGGGATTAGAAGAAGAAGAAGACTAAGGAAGGAAGGTGAGAATCGGAGACTGAGAAAGCAAATTGAAGCTAGAAGAGTTGAAACAACGACAACATTGAGACGAGATTGTTTGGAAGAAGACGACGACGACGACGGCGGCGATGATGATGAGCAGAGTGAAGCGCAGTGGTCTGTGAACTTTTCCATTATGGGAGGAAGAGAGAAGGGCGAAGGAGTTGGAAAGTGAAATAAAACCCATGTGGTCTTTGTAAGCCTTTTGCTTTTCCACCATTTTTGACAACAAAACTATGATAAAAGTTATGGGAGTGTTTGGTTTAAGGTTTAGCTTTCGAAAATCTCTCGGGTGGACGATTCGAACCGTTAATTTATGGGACTATTCTATTTTTCGAGTTCGAAAATTTACGAGAATCAAGATTCAAACCGATATCTTTTTGGTCGAGATCATGTTACTTTAACCAATTGAATTATGCCCAGTTCGTATTTCAGCTATATGCTTGAATTTTGGATCATGTCGATATTCAGTTTTTGTTCTTAATGTCGTAAGCTGGGTATGTAGTTCAATATTCAACCATATAATCATAAATTTAGTGGTTTGAGCATATCTTCAACTATGTAATCGTAGCTTTAGTGCCTAACCTAAACATAGTTCAACGGGTCGATTGTAGCTACTACGTCAGATGAATCCGATATCTCGATTCTGCCTGAACCAACCACTTTCAACCTTCTAAACACTCTGTTGGCTCAAAAAGAAAGCTTGAACCAGGTCATCAATGAGTCAGCTCCTTCTACTGAACATCAAGCACCTCTGGTTCAGTTTTTTAATGTTTGTAACCAATATGTTTCATACTCTCCCGACTCAAGTCAACCTTTTTAATTTAACAGGCTACAATCAGGCGAGCAACTAGCTAAGTTAGAGGAAGAGTTACAAAAAGTAAAGGGTCTAGAGACCATGGGCTCAACATTCCGGGATTGACCATCTTTTCAGAGGTAAAATCTCTAGAAATGTTGCGATGCTAAGACATATCAACCAAGAGTTTAAAATTTCAAATCATCCGTACTCACACGCTGAAATAAAAAACTTAGTGTGTATTGTCTGCACGTAATCCATAGTACTACAATTTTTCTCATTCGTGTAACTCTATCAAGAAAATAAAAGAACCTATCTATAAAAAAAATTATTTCATAGTCATATCATTACTTTCGAGTATCAATTATCGTTAAATTATTAATATTATAATTTTTCACGTCAACCTAATCATAATTATCGAGGTAAAGCACTGTACTCTCGATCAAAAGCTTAGAAATTCGAATTCAAATAATATTTTAATTTGAATATTATTATTATTATTATTATTTAAAAAAGAAAAAAAAGACAAACAATGAGAATAATGGAAGACATTCCAACGCAAATACCACGTGGCTGAATTAGTTAGATGAGATCAATAATCTAATTATAATAATTAAAATTAGACAAATTTAAAGTTTAGATCTAATAATAATAATAATAATAAATGTAAAATATTAGGTTTAAATTAGACAAATTTATGAGTTCATGGTCATTCATTGTGACCCATTTGGTGGTGTCTCAAACTGAAACCAAAACATTAAAACAAGCCCATTTCTATCCCCCACACCCTTTCGATCATGCTCTGCGGTTCGAGTGAGTCAAGTCAATTTAGATTCGCGTCGCCTACGGTCGAGCAACGTATACTCAAGGCTTTAGCTCTGTTTTAAGAAAAAAGTTTTAGAAGATAGGCAGAGAGATTTTCAAAAAAGAATTTGAAACCAAAGTTGAAAGAACGATGGAAAGCAGCGTTATATAACATAAACAAAGAAAGAAACATCAGGACTTAGATATCATATTATAGTATATATGTTGAGGCGATTTAGGTCTAGCAAACTTAGACATGATTTTACTGAATGGTCATGCAAAATCTTGGTGGGAGGAGTTGGTGACTAATCCTATCTCCCTATAGTACATTTTGAGACAATTCAGGTTGGACAGATCTGGGCAATGATTTCACTTAATAATCATACAAACAGAAAATACCATACGATACAACATGATATCAAATAAAGAGTTTGGCGTGACAGGTCTGGACGAGCATGACCGTGACACCCAGCATCATCTAATGGAACTCTCGCTAAGGAGACTTACTAAATCAGAGCTCGAAAGCTGGAAATGAATGAAACCTAATGAGTTTGGTTGTAACTGAATTGAGTTGTCCGATATGAATCTATCAAAAAACTCTATAAGCAGAAGAATTCATTCACTTATCAAGGTACACAATATTACTTTAGTTCAGTTCGATGCTATTTAGGTTTAAACATTGAGTATCTATATTATAGGTCATCTCGATGCCTCATCTTGCCAGATAAGTTTCAACTTACGTGAACCTGTTAACGTATACTTTAATCAACATGTTAATAGTTTGAATTTTTACAGCATCACTGAAATAAAACTTCGATGTTATGCAAGTATTAAATCCTGCCACTGAAATGTCGAGCAGATTCCTAATTGTTCACAAATGGTTAGCCACCTTTTACAAGGGAAGACAAAAGACATAAGGTAAAATTGGACGAATCAATGTAAATGTGTACAAGACTTGTGATCCAAACACAATTGGTGTTGATCACACCATGTGCTACCGTGGTAGCAAGAGGGGCCTAATTAATCGTCACGATTTAGATTTATTAGTACCAGACTCATCTTCTGACGTCACTTTTTCACTTTTTTATCCACCCACCTATCATCTTTCTTCGGACGTAAAAATCTCGATAGATTTTTTGAACAGTAACGCTTCATGGCAGTCAAACTATCTTCTTTTAATAAATTTTCGTATTTTAACTTTAACTTTTACGCATGTCGACAGACTTGACAAAAGTAAATTAACTTTGTAAGCATGCTTATCATCTCGTATTATAATATATTTATTTTGACGATCTTCGACTTTAATAAAATTTGTAAAATATTTTTTTAATAAAAGTAAAATGTCACTCCATAAAATATTTATTTATTTATTTTCAAACATTTAAATAAAATTTACAACTCAATTTGAATATATATTAACATGCTCGAGTCTGTCCTAAGTTTGGTTTTGGTTCATAGAATGGTTCGAGTCATTAAATTTTTTTTGAATACCAGTGTCAATTGACATGCTACCACTGGTTCACCATTGTTAACATGCCACGTGTTCTTGGTTCCCATCTCAAGTATCCCAAACCCACCATTCAAAAAGACAAAAATACCCCCCAACAATCATACTAACATCTCCTACGTAGGGGCAATTTGGGGTGATAATGGCATTTTATTTTAGGTTGAAAGAAGAGATTTTGATTCTCTCGTAGGTTCGTTGGGGATGTAATACAATATAATAAGATTATGTATTGTTTGTTAATCGAAATTGCGATTGAAGTTCGCGTTTCTCCTTGATTATCGGCGACAGGGGATTCTCTTTTTCCTTTTAAAAATTTATTCTCTCTGTTCAATTTTCGCCTTTAAATTCGAAGTTTCTTGGGAATCGTGTTGGTTCGTGGTGGTGTGTTCATCGTTTTTCCTTTTTCCTTATTCCTTTTCTGGGCTTTAGCGCCCTGTGGCCACTCAAATCGATGATCGTCAGTATTCAATGGACCCGTCGTCAGTGCACAACACTCCTCCAGTTGAAGAAGATGAGTGGGGTAATGTTTGTTATTTGATTCTTTAATCTATTTTCCCGCTTCTGTTATCGCCATTGGAATTAGGGTTTGTTTCTTCATTTGGGTTTCATCGGATTCGAAGTTCATCGGGTTTTGGGAATCTGGTTATAAGCCCTAATATTGAATCAGTCTGTTTTGTTTCTGTCTTACGATATATTTAATTTCCTTTTCTCTGTAGGATTTCTGTTGGAAATTTATCTGTTCATTTTGATCCAATTTGTCGATTGCTTCACTATCTATATTCTTTTGTTTTCTGGGTTTGGTGGTTTGTTCTTTGTCGTGGTGGGAATTTTGTTTCCCCTGTTTCTGAGACTTTGTGAAGCTAAGGAGTTACCCTTTCAAGAAATGTTAGATCCCACATCGGTGGGAACAAAAACGAAACATTGTATAGAGACCTCTCCCTAGCCGACGCTTCTAAGAGGGGAAGTCCGAAAGAGAAACCCCAAATAAGACAATATCAAGGGCGTGCCAGCAAGAACGCTAGGCACCGTGCCTAGCGTTAGGGGCGTGCCGGCAAGAATGCTAGGCCTTGAAGGGATGTGCCAGCAAGAACGCTAAACCCCAAAGGGATGGATTGGGGGTCCCACATCGATTAGAGAAGGGAACAAGTACCAGTAAGGATGTTAGGCTCCAACGAAGGTAGTGAATTGTGAGATTCTACATCGGTTGGGGAGAAGAACAAAACATTCTTCCCTAATGTTTTAAAAGCCTTGAGGGGAAGTCTTGAAAGGGAAAGCCCAAAGAGAACAATATCTACTCGCAGGTTGGGCGGGTATATTCACAAATTTCAGTACATAGGGAGTCGAACCCATTTTAGGTAGGAAAGTTTTTGTTTCATCAGATTAAGCTCTAAACTTCTGTGAGTAGTAAATTATTATCCTCTAGCTAAGTAAGTAAGAAATTTGTTGCATATTCAGCTGATAGATCACCCAAAATACAGCCAACACACACTTAAGATCCAACAGTAGAAGAATTCAAGCCCAGAAAAGAGTTATGTAGCCTAAAAGACTGACCAAACTGAGCACAAAAGTAGTTTAAGTCATCTAAAAGAACGTTCATATATTTCAAGAATACAACTTAACTATTAAAGAATGCTGATGTTGCTATGCATTCTTTAGCTCAGGTTCAGTTTGATAGAGTTCAAGGGCTAAGTTCAACTATCTTAGATATTTAGTTACATGAGGGAAATGATTTTGTTCTGTTGAATATATTTTTCTTTCTGTAGTGGTTGCCTCATGTAGAACGGAAAATGATGTGTTACTTGATGAATAGCTTTTTGATGTCTTTGCAAGTTACTTCGTGGAATGCGTAAATTAGAAGCTAGTTGTTAGGTGAAAGGTTAACAATGATGTAGTGTTGGGTGGCATTTGCTTAGAAATGGTGAATATAATTGCGAGATCCCACATTGGTTGGATTGGAGAACGAAACATTTTTATAAGGATGTGGAAAGCTCTCCCTAGTACATTTTAAAAACCTTGAAGTGAAGCCTAGAAGGTGAAGCCCAACGATTACAATTTCTACTAGCGGTGGACTTGGACTGTTACAAATGACGTCAAAGCCAAACACCAGGTGATATGCAAGCGAGGAGGCTGAACCCTGAAGGGGGGACACTAGATTGTGTGCTAGTGAGGATGCTGGGTGCGAAGGGAGTGTATTGGGAGGTCCTCATCAAAGGGAATGAGAGCGAGCGAACTGTGACTGATTGTGTTTTTAGTTTTATTTGAATGATCAAGCTAGCTAGCTGTTTCCTTGTCAAATTACTGACCAGAATGATAATTTGTTGATATTCATGAAAGCTTTATGAACAGTCCCTATCATTGTGGGGTACTACACTATATGCTCATGACCAAGCTACCATCATTTCCTTTTTTGCCTCACTTCTAAGCTAACTTTTTTCTATTTTGCAACAGACACCGATGGGTTCGTGATTCCGAACTTGGGGATCGAAGGGACAAACCAAACTAAACTTGGCTCTCCAGAAGTAGAAATCCAAGAACCTCCTCCAAAGGTTTTATCACCAACTCTTATAAGTTGTATGACCGCTTGCTAGGACGTTTAATATCCTTCGACTGCGGTGGTGTTTGTATCGACAATTCTATTCATGCTTTTATTGTTCAGGCTAAAGAAGAGACGACGATCTATCTCGGCCCACATGGCGCGCCACCATCACAGTCAAAACAGCAGTATTCGAACCCCGCCAATCGGAAGCAACGGTTGAGGCAGAAATTGAAGGAAGCAGACCGGAGGACCACAACGGGACGGGAGAATAAGTTGGAGAATTTGAGAGAGCTTGTAGGTGGTGGAAGATCAAGCATGAATATGGCAAAAGGTTCTTCTAGGGACTGGCTTGATCCACATTGCCATGAGGCTCAGTTCCACAAGTAATGTCCACAGAGATTTGTAAGACGGACTTGAGAAAATTAGCATACTAAAATAAGTTTTGTATTAGATCATTGATGGCATAATTGAAGTAAGTTTGCATACAAAGCAGGATATTTGGTGAAGATAATCATTGAATGTTGTTGATCTTCCCAATAACAATGCCTCTCAATCTAACGAATTGAATCATTGATGATATTATCTGCCAAGTCAATACGATCCATTATGTTACGTGATGCGAATTTCAACCATATATTATTATGACTCAACTTCCACCCTTCAAATTCCCATCACACCTACTGGTTCCCAGAATGTCCCGCGGTAGAACCATGAATTCCTGTCACACCTACTGGTTCCCAGAATGTCCCGCGGTAGAACCATGAATTCCTGTCACACCTACTGGTTCCCAGAATGTCCCGCGTACCGTGAAAATCTTTTGGAACTTGACTGACATAGAGTCTGATCATCATCAAATAAGAAGTCAAAGGAATTAGTGGACATACCGGATCTCCATGAGTGTATTAGTTGATTGACAATCACTTCTAGTCACTCCTATGAGGTACAACCACAGGGGCAACTACAACGTATGCATCTACATTCTCACTGGTTTGTTCCCAAATCTTTGGTCTCGATAATTTGCCAAATTTTCGAATTGATCAGCAAAGAATCCACCTTTGCAATTGCTCAATAAAAACGAAACTTGGTCTTCTACCTAATAAACGTGACCATTAATCTTTTCCTGATCTTATGCATCAAAGCAAGCTCATTGATTTTGCAGCTCTCATCCTAGCAATGTTAACACTTAACATAGTGATCTCTGCGCGTAATTGACACTGGTCTTGGCCTTTCAACGTGATCTCCCAGCGGTACAAGAATTTGAAACTGGTATACAAGAAAGAAGAATTAGTATTATATCCTGGCAACTCATGAAGAATTTAAGACAAGGTAGCCTCTCCCCCTCCTCTCACCTTTCTTATTCCTTCTTTTTGGCGTCACTTACCGAGGAGCCCGATTCATGGTTGTTACTTTGACGCATATTATATTCTATAGAAAACATTTCATATTTTATATTATTATAAACAAAAAAGAACCTAATTTACATATATTTATACTTTAAGTTACGTACAATATAAAACTATATGCATCCTATACAAGTTTCGAAAATAAAACAAAAGTAATTATAACAAAACAGACTTGGATCGAGGTAGGATCCTTGAGGTCTTTGGTGAACTTTTATTCATAACAGGTTATTTATCGGTCTTTGGTCTGGATTGGGTCCTCAATCCAACCATTCCCTTGTATCTTAGGCTCGTTAGTTAATTCCCAACAATCTTAGGGTGGTTTGGCTAATCAACCTTTATCTAATGATTCTGTTTATGCTTATTATAAATTTTTGACTCGTATGTAAGACTCGTAAATCTCTGTCTCTTTGTTTAAATTCTGTTGGTGGATGTGTGAGGGCAGTCGATCTTGTTTCCACTCTGGCTAAACAATTGGATATCAAACCACTTTTGTTGAGGCATTTCCGTAGCATTTAGGCACACAACAGACTATACTGAAACTATTAAAAAACAATTAGAATTCCTAATTTTCTTCCGAGATGATTCCAAAGAAGAAGAAAACGACTCACCAATATTTCAACAAAACCAACATAGTAATCGAATTAACCCAATCACAATAGAAAGCTTCAGAATCCCCAGTTCATACATCATAAATCCAAAAGCAGCATCAGGAAAAAGAAATTAACATACCTCTTCAATGATCTTAACTGCGACTCGGTCATTCATACTTCCACCTGGATTCAAAAACCCGATACAGGACACGAGGAGTTCACACGAGCAACAAATTTCACAAACTAAAACCCTATTCAAACCTTTGAATTTTTACTCAATTGCTTATATTAACATTAAGACTCGGAAATTATATTTTTACCCTTTGCAAAAATGAAATTACATTTTAACCTCGACTGAAATTGGGCTAAGCCCATTGGTAAACAATGGCCCAAAGGCTCGAGAACAAAATGTCGTCCGGTTATCAAACGAGACAGAGAAATGACAAAAGAAATAAATCAAACATATTTGTTGTCAGAAGTGGGATTTGAACCCACGCCCTCTCTCGAAGACCAGAACTTGAGTCTGGCGCCTTAGACCACTCGGCCATCCTGACATTTTTGTATTATAATTTACACAGTAAGGAATATGTTCTGTGTTTTAGTCCAATTGAAAATGTCAGAAAGAAAAATTAAAACAAAAAAAAATTATGATAAATATTTGTACACCTTTTTAAATAGAAAAAATACTTTTTATTATTTTATATATATATTTTTGTAGCTAATTTAAAAAAAAAATTCATCGGTTATATATATATATATATATGAAGGCCAATTAATTATTAACTATTACATTAATATTTGAACAAGTTGATAAACAACATGAAAAGGAACGAAGAAGAAAAAAGCTTAGAAAAAAAATTAGATTATCAAAACCTAAGTTACATAACTCGTGCAAAATACAAAGCTAAACTTTCTAGATGTCGAACCAATGCGTTCAAAAGCTAGTATATTATTTTAGCTTAATTTTGTGGCAGATGAGATTAGATGGATTATAGAATTTGTTAACTTCCACACGATTGAATCATCGACTTTTAAGATGATAATTGATGTTTTATTTGAGCTAGGTTTAAATTGGTAACTTTGAGACATGATTATCTTTTTGGTTAATTAGGTAAAATTAATGAAAATTAGAGAGGGTAACATCGTAATACATGTTTAAGCAATTGAAAATTTATAATAAAAATTGATACAATTTAGGGCTCGAGAGTAAATTAATTTTTTTCCATTAAAATATAATCAAAATTTTAGACTTGAAAAATATTTTAAAATATTTAATTTAAAAATAAAAATTGGTAAATTCTAAATCAAAATATTGTTTTCATTACAATTATTTGACCAAATAATTAAAGCATAGTATTTACTTTCCTAATATTTTTGTTGACACATTCTGTCACTTTTTATATTTATTCATGTCAAAGATAATTTAACTAATAGATTACTATATGGAAATATGACTATTCATGTCATATGTAATTAATGTTATTGTTAACCTTTATGGGTTTCTCCCCAGTAACATTTACTTTCTCAAATTATTTTAGAGTCAGATTGACTCCTAGAAGTGGAATCAGTAAGCATGTTCGCAACTAAGAAACTAGACAAATTGAATGTTGATCGAGATCAAGAACATATGCTCTATTTGAGAGAAGTCCTAAATAGTGTTTGATATTTGAAATCTCTCCGATTGTCGCTAAACCCAAAAAGAATAGTGTTTGATATTTAAATTCTATCATGGATGAGATTGTCACTAAAGCCAACAAGATTGACATGGTGGCTAGTCGCCTCGAGGGCATGACGGTCTAAAAGTTGATGTTAAGGGTTGAGAGACCTTAGAAGCCAAAGTCACACAACGTGGTGGCTTCGAGAGTGGGGATAGTTCGACTAGGCTTTATTACCTAAATAGAGGAGTGTGTCAAATGTTTAGACAACTCTAAAAAAGGAGCCTAAACTCTTCTATCGGGTTCGAATTCTAAAGAACTTTATCTTCTATAAATTAGCCTACGACACATCAACCTATAATTTATCAAAATTTTAAAACATTTCAGTAACAAGAAGTGGATACCTTAACCAAAAACATAAGGACGATAACCGATCTCAAAAGAGTATTGAATGATTTGCAAGCAGAGCTGCTGTTCACATTCCTCCCAGATTCCTGGAAAACAAGAAACAGCAAGACAAACAACACAGCAACATGTCAAAAACAACCTTAACTCTTGTCATATAAAAGGAAGGCCACCAGCATATCCTCTCTGGTTTAAGACGATTGAGCAAGTGTTAAATCAGATGTGGACAGCGTTCCTGACTGATCAACATCAAGCTTCTCAAATTCCTTCAGCACAGGTGCAATGTCATCTTCTGTGATTTTCCCCATCTCTTTCAGCTTGTGTATCACAAATTCTGCAGCCCTGTGTAAGATTAAGAACGAAACAATTAAGTGAACAACAAAACATATAAGAATTCCACAAACTTGCTTGTGGTCTTCTCAGAAATCAATTGAGGAATGTTATGTGATGAAAAGAACAGATTACGACTTACCCGACGACCCTGTCGTTATCGAGATCCGCAGCCTCAAGATCCAAGTTTGTCACCTTTTTACTCAGAACCCACTTCACCAGAGACTTCTGCCTTCTTTCAGTGTTTAGCTCAGCAATGTAGAGGAAGAACTGAGCCAGTGTGATGGTACTTATCAAGATCCAGAAAATGGCGAAGATGCGCCCCGACTTAGTCGAGAAGCTTTTGTCTCCATAGCCTAATGTAGTGATGGTAGAACATACACAATAAAAGGCATCAATGAAACCCAACTTCTCAATGGTAACAAGAAAGACAGTCCCAGAAATGATGAACAAAATAAGCAAGAGAAACACCACTATACACTTGTTTCTGGCTTTATCAGTATCAATTTCTTTTGTCATGTCACAATGGCCGTTTTGGTGCGCATTCAACGTCTTAAATAGCAAGATTTCCTGCTTCTCTACCAAATAATCGGCTGCACTGCTTAGTATTAGGCCAACGAGGGCCATTCCTGAGAAGACAAAAGCGCAAGCTAGTAGTTTTGTGGAAGGACTGTTTGGGACAAGATCTCCATATCCAACGGTTGTCATTGTCACAATAGTGAAATAAATGGCATCAACTATTCCGTTTGTTTTTTCCCCTCTGATTTGGTACCTGACAAGATAAAAACATAGAGTTCCTATACCCATGTATAGTATTAAAACTAAGGCTACTCTTCTTAAACTCGGACCAAGATTTCCAAAAATAAATCCTGAACGTGGAACTGGACAAGTGTCTGCGCCGGTGCCGGTGCCGGTGGTCTCTGAATGAGGTGAATCCGCATGAGGAGCACTCTTAGTGCGCCTCAATCGTCCTTTGCTTCTGGGAATATCTAATATTCTTGTTCCAATAGTATTAGACGACGTTGGTAACAGCGGCTCTATCACTTCTTTGCTGGCCATTAAAGATAATTCAACAAACTACCAATGTCAAGAACCTGCATAACCACAAGAATTTCAAAGCCATGTTAATCAGTTTAGTGATGTGTAGATTCATAGATAAAATCATATTACTCGGCATTAAAGTTGTGAGATCCCACATCAGTTGGGGTGGAAAACAAAGCATTCTTTATAACGCTGTGGAAACCTCTCCCTAGTAGACGCGTTTTAAAAACCTTGAGAAAAAGTCCGAAAGGGAGAGTCTAAAGAAACAATATCTGCTAACGGTAGGCTTGGACTATTACAAAAGTTCTGCCTTAATAGAAAACTTGAAGTGTCATGATTCAGTGAAAAATATGAACAGAATAGTTTGGAGGTTCTACATGAATTAAAGAGACAAAAGACCAACTTTACAAACGGCTTCCTTTTTCATATAGCTTCCGTTTTCACTATTGCATTCAACCTAAAACTTTTGATTCATCATCTGCCTCAAACTTTAACATAAAACCTCTTCAAAATATCAGCAAAATAGAAGAATCCAATTCCAGGTTCATCCTAAAATACTAACAAAGAAGACTTGAGGCCAAATTCTTATGTTCTGAAATTGAGATGCAGAATTATTCCATCAATAAACATTATAACACAACAAAAAGTAAGGGTTGAAATATGGATACTGAAAATTTTCGACCAATTTCCTTGCCAAGGAATAGAATCTACTACACTTGACGTATTATCTCAATCAATATAACTTGTTACGATCATAAAATTTATACCCATCAACGTCTTAAGAATTGTAGATAATCGAACAAACGAATCACTTTAGTTGGTCTAAAATCAAGTTCAACCTAGGAAAATAGTTCAGTCGATTCCAGTTCCAGAATTAACTTCAGTGCTAAGTTCAGTTGAAGCTTCAAGTACAATATGCCTTTTTCTACGATAGTGATATCATGTATCGAATTCACAAGCCAAAAAACAACTTCCAAAACTGAGAACATTATACATAGCATCCGAGTCAAATCTATTCGGGAATCACGTTAGGAAGAGGGGCAGTTTGACGATTATAAACATAGATATAGATCTCTTCCAAAGTACGAATTTCAACCATCATCCACTGTTTCCACGATCTATAAAGAAACTGTCTCCCACAGAACACCAATCATTAACAACAAAGGCTCCACAAACGACATTATCAAATAGCGAAATAAGGAAGCCATAGAACACGGAAACTTCATAAGCTATAAACTTAATAAATATGCCGCAGAAGCGATCTATACAAATTACAACAAAATGAAAACGGAGATCTCAAAACAGACTTCATTAAGCGAATACGCAAAATTAAGTCAAGATCTGATTAGAAATTTGAACATGAGAAGAACGGAAGCTTACAGTGAATGGCGTTGAGTTACGATCGGATAAGCATTCGATTTGGAGAAGATTTGAGGTCGAGATGTTCAAGTTGACGTAAATATTTCGATTTGCAGGCGCTTTCGCTTTCTATTTCGTAATCGTTGATTGAAAATTTTACTGGTCGGAGCTCTTTTTTCTTTTCCCTGAACTCTGTTGAAGAAATTGGCCAGAGTAGTTACAGTTACTTAATCCACCCCAAATTGGAAGTGTGAGAGATTTTTTTTATTAGTTAAATCCGTATATAAATATAAATAAATAAGTAAATATAGATAATATTAAAATTTTAATTTTATAAACTATGATAATAAAACTTTATATTATATGGAAAATTTCATTCAAATATGCGTCTCATACCACAATCGCACCCTTATGGCAACCGAATAAGAGAATAAGAATAATATAAAATTAATTAATTAATTAATTAATTAATTTTTATTGATTAACCGTAGATCAATAAACCCAACTAATTATCTAAAATTCAATAATTTAATAATAATTTGTGACCCAAACAAAAATATTCTTTCATTACGTAAAATTGTTAAAACAAGAAGGTTTTTGGACGTCTTAATCACTTACAGATTAGTTCATCCGAATACTCCATAAATAAGATATCATGTTTTTTTTTTATGTTGATATACAAAACATTGCAGTTAGGAACCACATAAGGTACGAGACAATTGTGACCAAATTGGACATCTTGATTTGTTCTATAAATTTAAGTAACACGTCGTATTATTCTCTTACGTGATATCAAGAGTATCAATTGTTGTAGAGTAACAGAGTTCGATGTCATTCAATGACACATGTCTCGTTTTTACCCTCTGATTGAATTATACAGCCCAAAATTCTATTTCACATTTTTACCCTCTGTCTTTTTTTATTTAATTTGTGAGGGTAAATATTTAAATTTTTAATTTTCGAATTTAAGATTTATATCTTAACTAGTTAAATGTAGAATTATATTTTATAGAAATATTAAAAATTAAAAATTATATTTAAAAACACCCGAATGGACACTTGTAACTTTTTATTTATTTATTTTTATTTTATCAAATTTGTTTCCTCCTTTTCCAAAAAGTTTTTGATGTTTGTTAGATGGAGAGAGATCCAATTTTTCAATTATTCCCATCTAAGGGTAAAAAGGTCATTTAGCAAGTTTCTGTTTCAGAACTCTCCACAATGCCCACTTAAGGGTAAAAAGGTCATTTATCAAGTCTCCGTCTGTTTCACGACTCCCCTTAATCGAGGTTCGACTCCTTTAGAGTAGTCTTAGTCATTTTTTACTGTCTTCGTGCCGGCTTGACTCCTTTTTTCTTTTTATTGGAGTCCTTTGTTCGACATTCGACACGGCTATGTTTAGGGCATGGCTCTGATACCATGTTAGACGAACACGACTCTCCACAATAGTATGATATTGTCCACTTTGAGCATAAGCTCTCATGGCTTTGCTTTGGGCTTCCCCAAAAGACGTCATACCAATGGAGTTAGTATTCCTCATTTATAAACCCATGATCATTCCCTAAATTAGCCGATGTGAGACTTTTCATCATCCAACAATTGGGTCCCTGATTCGTGTAGACAGCTCACATACCGCTTTAATGGACAAACATTTCAATCCTTAAAATATACTCCAACTCATATGTCAAATTGATCAGTGAGAGTTCGAAAATTTCAAAATAGAGAAGATAATTATAAAATCAAAATCAAAATTTCTCTTATGAACGCGGTAATATTTTTATTTAAAAAAAAATAATTGTAAAAAAAAAAAAAAAATTATTTAGGAGAAGTGGTGGCTATTATTAACATAAGCTTTCAAAGTTATTATTATGAGAAGTTTGAGCATTTGGGGGAGAGGAAACTAACTACTCATCATGGGAAAATGCTTACACCTAAAGTTTTTTTTTTTGCCAACTACTATTCTCTCTTTACAATATAACCACTAACCCACCTTTCTCTCTCCTCTCAAAATCATTATTTAATTTCGATGTGACTTACCCGACTTACCCGACAAACGAGCTCAAATCTTCTAACATACAAAAAAAAATGAAAAGGGCCTCGAGCTCTCGAGTAAATTCTTCATTATTACTCATTATCAAACAGGTACCTCAACAGTGAGCGAAAAGACTCCTCCCATAACCTACCTTATTCAGTATCATATTGATTCCCTAGGTTAGATCTCGGTTTCTTGTCTTAATTAACCCATTTTAAAAATCTATACATCTTAATGGTTGCCGTTTGAATTATAGTATTTGCCCTTCTTAAAGGGCAATCTCGACTCACCACATAACCCTAAAGTGGGTAGTTAAGAAGTAATTAAATAAATTAGGGTTTATCTCTCACTAACTCCGCTCTAATCCGAAAGGGTATTTTGGTAAAATCACCAATCCACGAAAAGGGTCTCTATAAAAACCAAGCTACCTTCTTGGGTTTCTCTCAAAACATAAACTTTCCTCAAAATTCTCAAAAAAAAAAAAAAAACACTAAGCTCATCTTCTTCCTCAGCTCAAGAAGAACACAAAGCCATGGCCGACCAAAACAACAACCAAACACTTCAAAAGGTAACAAAATTATTGTTTTCTATCTCTTTGTTGTCCTTCTTCTTTACCCTTCCATCTTGGCTCTTCCATTCCCCAATTCTCGACTCTTCCAACCAACCAATCGACAAGAACTTCATGTTCCTTCTCTGCAACGGTCTCCTCGTTTTCCTCGCAAAATATTCAGGTCTATTCAAATCTCTCTCCACTTCCCAACCAAATTACGACGCATTCAGTGTCTATGAGCTCGACTCTTTGTCACCTCCAACGATGTTGGAGGACGAGAAACAAACAACAGTGTCTACAACAACAATAACAACAACACGAGAAAAGAACGATGAGTCAGAAGAAAAAACCATTTCGATTTCAGAAATTGGCGACGATGAAGTTGAAGAAGACGACGATAGAACAGGTGATGAAGAAGGGAATGACGACGCGTTGAACGATGAAGAACTTAACAGAAAATTCGACGAATTTATCAAAAGAATGAAGGAAGAAATCATAGATGATGCTCAAAAGACTCTAGTAGTAGTTTAATTAGTAAAGAAAAAAAATAATGATATGACACCTTGTATACTTGTAACAAGATTCACATTCTTCAGAAATACTATAAGCTAATTAAAATTTTTAAAAAATTTAGTTTGTCGAGTTTTTGTTTAAAGGCGTTTATGTTAATAAAAATACGATCATGAGATACCTAAGAAAACAATTTATCGATGAAACCGAAATAAGGAGAAGATACACCATGTATTCTTACTTCGATGTTTTTGAACGCTATTAATGAATTATCTACAAAATTATGCTCGAGTTGTCTAATCAATCATTTGAGCTGGTTGGTTATAAATGTCGTTATCCATTATCGAAAAATTAAATTAATTTCTTTTATTTTTTTGGAAAAAAATCGATTTTTTTGAAAAAGAAAAAAGGAACAAAGAAATATTTATTTATTTATTTATTTTATCATATGAAAATAAATTACATTTTTTTTTCGGTATAATCCAAAATAGTCATATTTTACATTTTTTTTTTATAAGGTCTTGATTTTATGAAAAACGTTGATAGAAATATTGTAACAAATGAACGGTTTATATTTCTTTTAAGATGCGATTTTAACGTAAAAGGAGCAAGTCGATGAAAAAAATTAAATTAAAGAAAAAAAAAAGGAGAAATTGATACCCGGAAAAAAAGAGCACATGAATAAAGTGAGACCACATTTGAAGGAATGACCTCGTGAAAATTTTCTTAAGATGCATGTGAGTGATGACAAAGCATGTTAAAAGGACTCGTGTTGGTTCATGGGAATAGTTTTCAATCTTAGATGCAAGCAGTAAGTAGTGTGACCTTATTGCAAGGGATTGTCGGGGCCATTAGAAGGTGCCAAATCAAATTCCGAATTCTGGGTATGGGATGTTACATTCTCTCTCTCGTTTTTTGGTGTAGTAATCAAAATGTATTTTAATGTCGGGTCGTGTTGAAAAAATTTACGAAAAAATAATATATATAAATATATGATGAAAACAAGATTGTTTTAAATAGGAATAAAGATGGGGAAATTGAATAAAACTGTCCACCATAGTTGTGGGGGCTAAGAATAAAAGGATGTCGGTATGACAGTGTCTCTTCCTCTCTAAAAGTAGGTTCTATTCCAAAAGCGTCATCCGCCGCTCGGATGGTGGATCGAATGAACACTCAATCGTCTTATTACAATAGTAAATGATAGAGATATGTCGATGATCTAGAAGTTACTTGAGATTCTAGCTTGTTCGAGAAGTTTCGTATGTGCTAGGTAAGAATGTATTCGTATATTCTGTTTTAGAAAACGTGAGGTCTTTGACAATATTTGCACAAAAAAACGAAATTTAAAGTAATATTTAAAAACGTAATCAAACAAAAGAGACAAAGTACAAAAGTCAGGAGTATCTCTCAAACCCTCTGTTAGATAAACACGACTCTTCATGGTATGATATTGTACACTTTGGGTATAAGATCTCGTAGCTTTGCTTTGGGATTTTCCAAGAGGTCTCATACTCGTGGATATAGTATTTCTTGATTATAAACCTATGATCATTTCCTAAATTAACGGATGTGAAACTTTCATCTAATATCTCGAGAGCCACGAGAGCGGACTCCCAATATTTATTATTATTATTATTATTATAAGAAAAGGAGGGTTTAAACACCAACTTTTGGATCCTTGCCGTGAACCGTAGTGTCATATACAGCGGCCTCGAAACGCAAACAGCCCTTTCAACGCCGGAGCAGTCCTGTCTCCGCTGCTTCTCCTTCTTCGCCGGAACCCTAAACTTCCGAACGTCAAACCTTCAGAACAAGGAAACTCTAAAACGAAAACTGATCATACTTAATTCTCCGAAAATGTCCCCGTCGATATTCCGATCCCGATTTATTTCCTTGCTAAAGAATCGCCATGGACGTCTTATGAGCTCCGACCTCGCTTCGATCCCTTCCAAGGATTCCATCATTGCGTCCCAGAAGCTCGTCTCCGATCAGATTCCGCAATCCATTTCTTCTTCTTCTTCTTCCTCTAAGCCCTTGAATTTCCTTAAGTACAGTTTGATTAGTGCTCTGACGGCGGCTACTGCAGTTGCTGGTTACGCCAGCTATGGTACTTTCCAAGGATTCGATGGAGTTTGATCTGGTTTTTATTTCATGAATGAATTAATTGGTGTAATGGACTGGTGTGTTGTTTTTTCAGCTTATAGTTACGATGAAATTGCGGAGAAGGCAAAAGCTCTCCGTCGGTCTGCAAGTTATACTGCCATGGACGATGTTTCTGGTGTTGATGTAAGTGTGACAATGTGTTTGATCTTGAGTTTGAGAAACTTAGCCATATTATTTTGAGTTGTTTGTGTCGTCAAATGAGGTTGCGTGCTTATGCATTTCTTTCACGTCTCTCTTTTTTTCTGCTTCAATTATTTTGTAGAAAGTTCAGGGCAGGCTATACTCCACGATAATGACAGGTAGAAGAACTGAACCTCTTGTTCTTATTCACATTTCCAATTCAAATGCTTCCTCTTTGCATGACGTTAATCTTATGATGAAGACCATTTACGGGTTACCATTTGTGGATAATTTGAAAACCCTACGAGAGCAAAATAACTCTTTGGAGCTCATACAAATTGTAGAAAATAAGCTAGTTTAGAGATGAGGGCTTCTGGTTTTGGGAGAGAGATCAAAGAATTTTGCTTTCCATTGGAGATAGCACAGAGAGAGACCAGAAGTCATCTCTCTCTCTCTCTCTGATAAATTTTGTAACTGTAAGCCTAAGTCATATCACTTAAGCTAGGGGACGTAAATATTAAATGCGCCCCGATGCCTCGGCAGCTGAGCTAGGTGCCGAAGTGCATGCTTGATAGAGGATGCTTTGCCTCCATCAAGGTGTTTTTGGTGCTCTTGCACACAAATCACACTTTTCAAATGCTGCACGATACCTGTGACTTGACAAAGTAAAGAGTTCAAATATATTGTATTCTTTGCTATTACTCTTTTATGCTATTCTATGTCATCCCTAACTCATAGTAATATTAGTTGACAAAAAGAACTTATTGTTGCAGTTCCTGTAAAACTAGCTGATGTTTACCTGGATTTGAGGAAGACAATTGAAGAACAAGTTAAAGTGCGTATGTTATTTCTGTTTGACATAGTCCTTGGATGTTTATTATCCTCTGTAAATTCGCTTTTCTCTAATCTTAAGTTTCTGTATCGTTTAGGGTTATACTGAACCCAATGCGGAAATGCTTCTTCCGGATTTGCATCCCTTGGAACAACATGTATTTACGCTTGTTCTAGATCTAAATGAGACTCTAGTGCACTCTGATTGGACGGTAAGGCTAATATTGAAGCTTATGTCGGAGCCCTTATAATTTTTTTATTTTTATCTTTTTGGGTAGCTCCGGTTGTAGTTTTCGCCTTTTTTGTTTGGCTTCCTTTTTTTCGTATTTGCTTTCTTTTTTGTGAGAGCTGTTTTCTTGGCTGAAAAGTTATTATTTTTAATTAGTAAATTTGTCGAATTTCATTTTGACTAGCTTTTTTCATAGGAGCTTCATCTTTTTTATTTTAATCAATAAACTCTTCTTGAATTTCTTTTATCATTGGATTTATGATGTTTTTCTTCTATGCTTGGTCATAACGACTTCTTGTTTTTGTGCTTATAAAGCGAGAAAGAGGCTGGCAGACATTTAAAAGACCTGGAGTTGATTCTTTCTTGGAACATCTTGCACAATTTTATGAAATTGTTATATTCTCTGATCAATCAAATATGGTAATTTATTTTCTTTTCATCTTAAGCTTGATTGCTACACTTATAAATTTTGATCACTGCAAAGTTCTACCTATTTTGTCTTGCTATTGCAGTATGTTGATCCTGTCATTGATAGGTTGGACCCCAAGCATTGCATACGATATAGGTTGTCAAGAGCAGCTACAAAGTACGAGAATGGAAAACATTACAGAGTATGTATTGGATGAGGGCTTATTTTTTTCTTCTCTAATTAATTATTCTCTAGATATTTGGATCTTACAATTTTGCACTCACTTGAGACGTAAAGATCATGGCCAGTTGTTTAACGTTAGCTCGTGCCATAAAATTTACCATTCTACATTACCTCATTGCCATATGCATTATACTCCATTATATTTTCCTTTTTGCTCATGTTCTAGTAAACTTTCTTCTTGAAATTATTGTGGATGAAAGTGATGAAAAATGATAAATAAAAGAATGGTGATCTATCATGAATATACTAATAATGTGGTTAGGTAACCCTTCCAAATTTATTCAATTTGTCTAATGCACAATTTCTTTGTTTATATTTCAAAAAAATAAAAAACAAAAACAGGACCTGTCAAAGCTTAACAGGGATCCCAGGAAGATTATTTATTTGAGTGGCCATGCATTTGACAGTAGTCTACAACCAGAAAACTCTGTTCCAATAAAGCCATGGAAGTGTGAGGCAGATGATACTGCTCTTCTTGATTTTATACCATTTCTTGAATGTAAGCATTCTGCTCTTGCACTTAATATGATGAAAATTCATAACTATGGATGATTTTATTGGTCAGTGAAAATTTGTAATTCTAGTCACAAATGCTTGAACATTTACTTGATTGTGCAGTTGTTGCACGAAATAGTCCAGCTGACATCAGACAAGTTCTAGAATCATATAATGGATGTGATATTCCCACAGAATTTATAAGACGTTCTAAAGAGCATCAAAGGTGATTCTTCTTCTGCTTTTAAATTATGTAACTATAGCATTTTAATTCTCTTTCTGGCTCAATTTGAATTCCAAGACTAGTTTGTTTACTTTGCTATTTTCAATATGCAGATCTATGTCCTCATGCTATTATAGATCTATCAACTTAATATCTACCACTAATTAGAATTAATTAATACAAGAAAGTTGACCTGACATTACACTTTAGCTAGCATGGTATCTCGTTAGTCACAACTTCTTTGTTAGTATAACTGGATAATAGACATTGGAGATCAAATGGCCAAAATCAAACAAATGAGAGCTTAGGGAAAAAAAAGAGTTTAAAATGATAATTTAGAAGGGTTGATAATCCAACTTTTTTAGTTGATATTTGATTGTTTTCGTATTGCTTTTGTTCAAATTCTTTTCGTATGCTGGAGGAAATAGTTTCATTATTACCTGTTGTGATTTATATTGTTCGTTGGGCCTTTATAGATTCATGCGATTCATGAGAACACCTGTTTTATAGTAGACTTATATGATTCATGTGGAGGCTTAATTTACTGTTTTTGTGGTATTCTAGGTTTGCTTGTAAAGTTTTTTGAGTATTTTCTATTGAAAGACATCCCACAAAGTTAATTAAAATGCCTGCAAAGTAGAAACTAAGTTATTGCGAGATGGAATGAAATGAAGTAATCAACTAATTTAAACGATCAGTGATGACTGCGATCGACATTACTTCAAATGATCTATATATCACATAAAAAATCATGTTCTATTTGATCAACATCTTAGCTATCAATGCAGGCGGATACAAGAACAGAAGCAGCAAGGGCGACTATGGAAACGTTGAGATCCGAATAGTGTAAAAAGTTGATTGAAATTGTAGTGTGGAACAAAAACAAAGATAACCAACTTTCTTCTGCAGGCGTAGAAGAAACCTGAGATTGAGACAATGGATTTTCTGTTATACATTTCCATTAGTTCCAGGTTCTTGATAAGCAAGAGCCTCTCTCATAAGTTTTGCTACTCATTTGCCCCATCTTGTTCTGGCAGGCAATGAAGTTTTGATTTTGTGTGTCATGATATGGATATCCTCTTGAGTTTTCCTGAGTAGCTATGACCGTCCATGTCTAGTTACACAATTATAACCCTTTGATTTTCTATTGTCCCTTTCAGAATGCATCAAAACTGGTGAATTTACCCATTTCAATCATGACATTTGTTTCTGTGCTTTTTCTTTTTAGTTATTGGCAAATGGGGAATGGGAAAGAGAGAGGACAAAGATTTCTCTCCATTAACGGGACGGAGATAAATATTACATTCTCTACCCTTGTTCCTGTCCTGCCTCATTTATATATATGACAGAGTCTTATACAAAAAAAATACGACAAGAATCTCTGGTGTTGAGGGAATTGCATGTATCAAAATTGAAAAAAGAATTGATCTTATTCAAGTGATAATCTTTATGGGATTCCCAAAATTATTAATAGATGGTGGGTCTTGAAAAATTGAAGAATTACAGATGAATGTACAAAAAGAATTAAATTCTTTGAACCAAAAATTCAACATTGCTATTACAAGAATAGCAAACTCTTATGGATACCTTAATATTCTTGTAGAATTTATAGCCGGACAATTACAGAATAGAGTTTCACTGAATAGGTTCAGGCTCAGGGAATTGCGCCCAACATTCAATTCATGTGCATTAGATTAACATGGATATCCATTACAACTTTGAAGATGAGTATTATATTACCATTTAAATCAATTCTTTAAGATATTGAGCGACTTTACAGAGTATGTAACGACCTTAATTTTCTATTCTTTTTTTTTTTTTTTTATGCGGAAACATTCATTTAAAACGATTTCATAAAAGCATGTACGTTTACATACTTATCACACCAATTAAGGTAAAATTAATAAATTCTCATTTCATATCTGTTTTACATTCATGTGGCTAACAACATATACTTAAAACTTGTTCAAATAGCCACAATGCTCAAAGAATCAGTCAGCACATTAAACTCTAGAACAGAACCTAAAGATCCAAGTTCAAACCTTTCTCCAGACAAACTGTCACAACAACAGGCCCTGCCAAGTCCCCCACGGCACATCCTGCACACAAAATCAAACCTTCCAATGGTAAAAAAACAACCACTCACGACATTTCGCTACCGATTTATAAGGGTGTAAATTTACCGATCCACTGGCCAGCTGATGGGCGGAAGAGGGTGGCGCCGATACCTGCTCCAATGGAAGCAAAAACTAGCGACGAGCTACACCGAAGAGTAGCGCCTGCAATCTTCTTCCTTAGAAGTACTAGTTTCTCGGTCTTGTTAACGATATTGTCTTCTTCGGATTTTATTTTCTCTGATATGTATCGGTAAATTTCGATACCGACTTGGACAAGCCATGAAGCTGCAACTCCTAGAGCGTGACCTGTATTGTCGTTTCCAAACAGGAAAATGCAATGAGCATTCAAGAGTCGGGGGAGCGGGGAGCGGGGTAGATAGAATTTAACCTCTGAAAGTTGTCCTACTAACTCGGAAGAAGTAGATCGGAGTAGACAGTCCTCGTCCAGCCTTACGAACAGCAGATTTGGGAACATCTGTCATGTCATGAATAGACAAGTTCATATCTTCTTTGCCATTTCAAACCCAAAAAATTTGGAACTATGAGGAGATTTATACCTTTAAGAAGCTTCCATGCTATTCTCTGCGAAGCATAGTGAACAGCAATTCGTTCCAAAACACGTCTCGTTGTGACGACGGTAGTCTGGTGATATCCAAATAAGGCAATCAATGAGCTTCATTTCATATGTTATAAGAAAAACATATTATAGAGACAACTGAAAGAAGGTAGTTTTGGTAGAGATATTGCACCCAAAGCTGGTTGCTCGACACCCGAACCGACGAAATCATGAATAAGAACTAGATCGACATGCTTAATCAGAGGATGAGCAATTGAACAGACCTCACGAAAGATTTGCTTGATGGACTTTTTAAAGGGCAAAACTAGATCGACATGCTTCTCTTCTTGAGCATCATCTAGAAAATCGTCATCGTCATCGTCCTCGTCTTCCAACTTGGCATGAGGCTCCAAAAGAGGCAAATAAAACATCAAAAACGACCTCAAGGTTGTCATACCAAGCATCCTCCATTGAAAAGCCGAGAATAGTGGCTTTAACTCGAGGTTGTACTCCTTTGTACTGTATTGAAGAGACTCGTGCTCGAAGATTTTCGTTGATGCACTCTGTAGATTTGAGAAGTAGTCCTCCTCAGTCGCATCCACACCAGCATCGCAATGAGCTATGGGAATCCTGTAATTACTGTAGCAGCATGACCAGCCTTGTTAAGTATTCAATCACAGGTGAATCTTAGTATAAACTGTTTATAAAGACTCAGTTTCATCTGTAAGCAACTAGCATGGAGCATGATAACAGTAACTCTTGAGAGTGCTTGTAAATTTTCAAACATTTAGCTTTTAAGAGTCCGTGATTGTAATAAGTCCAAGCCCACCGCTAACAGATATTATCCACTTTGGCCTGTTATGTATCGTCATCAGCCTCACGGTTTTAAAACACGTTTCCTAGGGAGATGTTTCACACTCTTATAAGGAATGTTTCGTTCCCCTCTCTCATCGATGTAAGATCTCACAATCCACCTCCCTTGAGGGCTTAGCGTCCTCGCTGGCATACTACCTGGTGTCTTGCTCTAATATTATAACAATCCTAGCCCACTACTAATATATATTATTCGTTTTAACCTATTACATATAACCATCGGCCTTACAGTATTAAAAACGCATCTTCTAGGGAGAGATTTTCACACCTTTATAAATAATGTTTTGTTCCTCTCTCCAACCGATGTGGGATCTCACAATCCATCCCTTTGAGGGCCCAGTGTCCTCGTTGGCACACCGTCCGGTGTCTAGCTCTGATACCATTTGTAATAGCCCAAGCCCACTACTAACAAATATTATCCACTTTGGCCCGTGACGTATGTCCGGTGTCTAGCTCTGATACCATTTGTAATAGCCCAAGCCCACTACTAACAAATATTATCCACTTTGGCCCGTGACGTATCGTCATTAGCCTCACACTTTTAAAACGTATCTGCTAGGGAGGTTTCCTAAACCCTTATAAGAAATGTTCTGTTCCCCTCTCCAACCAATGTGAGATCTCAGCGTACTCGCTAGCACACTGCCTACGCTAGCACACTGCCCAGTGTCTGGCTTTAATACCATTTGTAATAGCCTAAGCCCACCACTAAAAGATGTTATCCGCTCTGGCCCGTTACGTATCGACATCAAGCTCACAGTTTTAAAACTCGTCTGCTAGGAAGAGGTTTCCACACCCTTATAAGGAATGTTCTATTCCCCTCTCCAACCGATGTGGGATCTCACAGTGATCCTTCCTACGAAGATTAAAATTTCTCTCTCTCGATAACCAGGTTATCGAGGTTCGGTGGCCCATTCCTTGCATCTTTTGCTCATAACTAACCTCCATTAATCCTACCCGAAGCAGCAACAATGATTTGAAGTTATCAAATATTCTACAAGAACCTTGAATCCAAAACAAGGCACCTCTAAACATCCCAAATCCTTACCACCAGGGCCACCCTCCGGGCTAGATTCTCAACTCTGATTAACAAACATAATTATCCTACTTTACCACAACAGAAAACTCCTAATGAAAAAGCAAACACAAATACTTCTCAAACAGATAAACAACGATTAGCAACTGATTAACAACGATTTGCACAAACCCACAAACTTAACAATAACAGTCTCCAGTGTACAGAGTAGTTCAAGGCACAGATAAATTTGAATTTCAAGACGAACACGCTAAGAACTCCAGCGATTCATCAAATTTTAAACCATGACAAGTATAATCCGGCTATAATCTGCACCTCTTCAAAGCCATAAATCTCAACAATCGAATCCAATTCAAAGAGAAATTCAGCAGATTCAAGACAGCGTCAATGCATAAGCACATACCCTATGAAAGCTCTGTACGCGAAAGGGGTTCCGGCAGCGGCAGCGGCGGCGGCCGAGAAAGCGCCACAGGAGTGGAGACTCTGCTGTGTATTGAGAACGGAATTTTTCCGTAATAGATCCAAAACAATAGCTAAACCCGCCATTTTTGAAGCCAGGAATCCAGACGTAAATTTAATCAAATGCTAACTGATTGTGCTTCCATTCATGTCCTCCATACTAAACTTTTATGTTTATCCAAAAAAATCTTTTGTTTTCATTTCAAACAAATGTTGATTTACAATTTTACACCTAAAAAATTATCTTACATTTTTATTTGTTTTTGTAGAGTTTAAATATTAATGTTAGTTTTGAAAGTTAATAGTTTTGAAACGTGATGCTAACTGTCACGGTCATATTTGTCCAAGGTATGTCGCCCATGACCGCATGCCAGTTGTCACAATCTACAATACGATTGTGCCCCGAGTGAGTCATCGAGGACGATGACTAAGTTAAGTAGAGGAGAATGTCACAACCATACTATGAAGAGAGTAGGGTCTGACCCTCACTCATGACAAGCAAAGTGGCGTCCCTTAAGAGACACCCATCCAGCCACATGCGACCCAATATAGAAGAGTGTCATGATGGGATCGAGGAGGACGATGCATCATCCACCACACCACCACGCGAAGTAGGCATTGAAGACAAGTTGAGACATGAGCAAGACAAAGACATTGAATAGACATGAAGGGCAAAGATAGGCCTGTTGAAGGGCCGAGTAGGGCCCCGGGCCTTAACCTCAAAAGTCGGGGTTTCGAAAGGAATTTGGGCATGTGGTTCGAGAGTTAAGTTCGTCCATATGAAATATGAATGCTCACTAAGTTTGGTGTCAATTGGACATCGGATGGACAATGCACGACATCATATGATCGTTTACCAAAATCATGTCTACGCCCGTAAGATTGAAAATGGCTCAAAATGTACTATAGGAGTACCATGGTGTTAGCTCTCCACCACCCCTGGGCCTTGTGGCCTAAGTGAGCTACCATGTGGCACATACGTGTGTCACAGTGTGGGCAAGTGCCGAGACGAGTGTCTCGGGCGACTTCCTTTGAAATGGATTTTGAAGGACAGTACCGGACGACATAGGTGTGCCGGTATTGCGCCCCAGCCTGCATGTTGGAGGTTGCTACATACACCCGCTATCTGACACGGTATCCATAAATGATATGGTATTGGAACGGGAGGGTCAATGCCTCGATAGAACCCGGATGGATGGATGTTCGAAAAGTCCCGACGAGATGAACAACACGCGGGCCCATTCTCAATGGCATGACCAAGCAAGTTATGATGGCCAACGACATCCCAAGACTCGGGATAGCGACAAGACATATGGACCCCATCAATGGGGATCAATATGACAAGATGAGATGCGACGTTGCATTGAGAGACCTTGGCCCGAGCAGAGGCAAGGTTGAGCCGAATGACTTGGTCTAGCGTAGAGGCAAGTCGGATGTGTCGCAGACGATTGAACATGCACGCGTAGGCGGCGTGTGTGGTTGACCAAGCTTGGATTCCACACAAGCAATATTCGATTGGTGAAGACAAACCTCACCTAAGGTCCAATGAAGCCACAAAGCCGGGGCGAAAAATATATATGGGACTTAATTCCCCTTAAGACTAGTTGTGAGTGTGTTAAGATCACTACGCCGCACGGTAAAAAATGTAGGACCGTAACACCCGTAACACATCGAAACTTTTTCCTTGTACTACTCTATTGCTTTCTTTTACCGCTTTCATGTTGTATTATTTCTTTCTTGTTTTCTTTAAGAGCATGTCGTTTCGGCGATGTCATGATTAAGCCTAGTAGACATGAAATGCCTAAAAATGTACTATACGGGAATACGACTAGTTGTCAACTTATCCCTACTAGATAGTTATATGCAATAAGCAGCAGTTGTTGTCTTTTGCTTACATTCCCATATAACACAAATCTCAATTTCTCTCTCTTGCTTTCATAACTTTTTTTCCACAACTTCTCTCCCCGAGTTTCTAAAATCTTCTCTTGAAATCGAGACCCGAGGTTTGTATTTACGTTGCTCGACTGCAGGCAACATAACTCGAAGTAGGCTTGACCCACTTAGTGCTGAGAGTGGGAGCCGCACAATCGCCAAATCCGTTGCCTAGAAACCGTGATTGTGACACTAAAGGTCCGATATGTATACTAACATTTGATGGTGTTTTTGAACTAAGATTAAGGGTATTAATGAAATTTTTAAAAGATCACGAGTATCTCTTTAAACACTTTTTATTTATAGAACCTTCGAAAAAAATTGATTTATTCACCGTAAGTTTACATTAATAACTAAAAGCTCATAAAATTTAAATATCAACCAGTAAAAGTATGGTCGGGTTGAATTGTAACTCTATTTTTGAAGTGATCTGGTTAACTCGATCAGAAAAATGTAAACTTGCAAATTGAATCTCATTTTTTATTTTTAAAAAAATTAATAAAAAAAAAACCCTTACCATCCGAACCTTTATGATTTAAACGAGGAATCGAAGTCAAATGAGTTATCGATCATATGAACACATCGAGCTAAGCCCAAGTAAAAATATATTTAAAAAAAATCCCTATTTACCCAATATATCCAATGGCTTGGAATTGCGTCCCCAACCAGGCTGCTGTTCATTACGATTTCTTGCCGTACGAGCGAATCCAAAAACTCCCGCCAACTCTCGATCCAGGTGAAATGTATCTCTTCTTCCAGATTTCCAATGCGACATCGAGTTCCAAATATTATATCTCTTCTTCATGATTCAAACATTCTTTGGAATTAGCGGATTTAGTTTACTGTTGTCTGTAATTACGGTGATTCTGATTTCTGAAGCTTCGCGTGTTTAATCGCTTGTTTAAGTTCTTCCACTTCGCCCTAGCCGCTTCGGGGTTCCGAAGATTTTTCTTCCGTAACATGGATGTGGGCGACCTTAACAAAGTTTGGGAAATTAAAGCCCTGAAGAAGGCTGGGGAGAAAGAAGCTAAGGAGATTCTGGAGAGAATTGCCAAACAAGTTCAACCCATTATGCGGAAACGCAAATGGCGAGTCAAGGTCCTTTCGGAATTCTGGTAAATGTTACTTACAATAAGTTTCCACCATGTTGTTTCTTGTTCATTACAACCCTAGGATTGTAGTTTTTGTTGTTGTTTTTTTATCTCGGATTCTATATCTGTTCATTTTTTACGTTCTTCTTGTTGGATGTGGCGAAATGAAAAAATAATACTGAAGATGTTGTACTTTTGGTTGAGTCAACTATAGTTGAGTCTATTTCTTCCGGCATTTTCCTTAACAAGAAAGGAAAATTTTCATTGAACAATTGAAAAGATTTGCATTCACACTGTTTATTGATGAATTTGCAGCCCAAAAAATCCTGCACTTTTAGGATTAAATGTGGGACGTGGAATTCATGTGAAGTTGAGGCTTCGAAGGCCAAATAGGGATGGAGATTTCTTCCCCTTCAATCAAGTTTTGGATACAATGTTACATGAGCTTTGTCACAATCTCATCAGTCCTCACAATGCCAATTTCTACAAGCTTTGGGATGAACTTCGAAAGGTGCTCATTTATGCTTTTTTTTTTCTTTTTTTTTTTTTAATGATTTTGTTATTAAATTATCTGAAAAGGACATAAAGAATGATATTCATGTCAATAATCTTTGCTTGATTGTATCCGTTCCATTTACATTTGTCTTCCTAGTATAAGTTCTCCTGGCCATGTATAATGGTTAAAGCAATTATCACTGATATGAGATTAAAGAAGTGTCGTTGTCTTCTATGATACTTATTATCAAGTGCTGCATGGAGGGGGCTCATCAAATTGTGTACTTGGACAAGCAGCGGTGGATGTAGTATAGGTTTATAATATAGTGATTTTATAATAAGATTATGATGTAGTGATTTTATAATATTAATACTCATATAGGACAATTATGATGCATTAAACTAATAGTTGTCAATTTGAGTATAACTTCATAGATAAAGATATCAATTATCCACCTAGTACTTGTTGACTATCCAACGTCATTCGTAATATTTTGAATTGTTTACTTGGAATTACTTGTACAAATTTTAAGTGAAGCCCCCGGGATCCTCTGACAAGATTTTGTTCCTTCTAGTTCTGTGCATTTCATAAATGTTCATCATGTTTTTACTTTTACTGATTGTCTACAAATTTGTTTTCCATTTGCAATTTGATGTGTTTTGGTTTCACTGAAGAGAACATTCTTCGATGTAAGTTTTATTTTTATATTTTATTGTAGGAAATTTCATTTTGATTGAACATTGCCTCTTACCAAGCATCAATTTGATGATTTTTGAATATGTAGGAATGTGAGGAGTTGATGGCTAAGGGAATTAGTGGCTCAGCACAGGGCTTTGAACTCCCGGGGAGGCGTTTGGGTGGTAAATCTCAACAACCCCCTCTCTCTTCCCTCCGCAAATCTGCCTTAGCCGCTGCAGAAGGAAGAAAACGTTTGGGATCTCTACTTCCTTCTGGTCCTAATCGGCTTGGTGGTGATAGCAACATCATGGATGCTCTAAGTCCTGTACAAGCAGCTGCAATGGCTGCAGAAAGGAGGCTTCAGGATGATATTTGGTGTGCTTCATCTCAAGAAATGCCTGTAGATGAGGAATGTTGCTCTGATTTTCCATCAGAAACGGCACATTCCTCTCACGCAGGTAAATCAGGGCCCTCTAGCAATTTAAGTATTCGTGTGGATGCATTACACCAGAAAAGAAATCGTGAATCAGAAAAGAGTTCCAATATGTCTTCCCGTGGTCATTTGAGACCTGATTTTGTTGATTTATCTGAAGACGTTTTAATCCCTGGGTCCTCTGCCGTCTATGATGAGGAACCAAAAAAGCGATACAAAATATCAGATAGAGTTATATTTCCCCAACCTTGTGCAGAAACTAGCGCAATAGATTTCCCCTGTTTATCCTCTAATTCGATGCCAATTCACGATGGAACTCTTCATCCTGAAGAACATTCCATGTGGGAGTGCGGGAATTGCACCTTACTGAATCCAGTATGTATTCTGAACTTTTCATATATTTGAATGCCATATGAACCTTCATTTTTTAACAAGCTCTAAACTTTCCTTGATCATATTTTGGGCTACATTTAGAATGGTTAAAACTAACTTATAGATCGGTCCTTAGCATTGCTTCATATAAACATGTAAATTAATTTCATATTTATCTTGAAGTTCATCACTGGGGGCATGTTTATTATTTATCATCCTGCCAAGTATCTCACTGTTTTTTTTTCTTTCCCATGCCAATGTTGATTGTCATGCAGCCACTAGCTCCAATATGTGAGCTTTGTTTGTCACAAAAATCAAAAGATGCTGATACCAAGTACAGATTCTGGTCGTGTAAATTCTGCACTTTAGAAAACAGTGTGAAGTTGGAAAAATGCTCAGCTTGTGGTCAATGGAGGTATTCTCATGGTCAGCCAGTGTCGACTCGAGGACCGAATCTCGGCACTTGAGGGGCTGCTGATATATCCTGGTGAGACTTTTGAACTTCTTGATAAGTTAGACTGATTTCTAGGAAAATTAAGTTGCATCTAGCCTTTTGAAATTTGGAATGCTTCTGTTATTTTCCTACTGAGAGAATATCCAATTGAGTAACTGATGCAGTTCATTTTGGTGTTCTTGTCATTCCTTGGATCAACTCAATATGTAATCAGCATATGGTATTATCTTAGAAGAGCCTGATGAATTTTGTGTGAAACTAAGGAAATTTTTTGTCATCCATTTTGGAATTGAGCTTCATAGAAAATTTTGTTCTATTGTTGAAAATATAAGATTCTAAAAAAAATTTGTATTTCAAGACGGTACAAAAAAGACTATATAGGATGGGTAGAAGAAGTTGTGATACTTAGCTCGATCCATGATTTGAAATGACACTATGAGATATAATATATTAAATGACCACCAATTCCAAGGATCCATCGTTTTAGATTTTTAAAGCATAATTCATGGAAATAACAAAGGTCTCTAGAGTAAACAAAAATGATAAACTATTCAAGAATTACATATTAAAGATGCAACTCTCACAAGATCAGTGTGATTGGGATGATACATGTTGAGCCTATCATATCACACATCCTGCACCCATCTCTCAATATTGCTCACAAAGGTCAACAACAATCCTTTGAGATATCCCTTCCAAACAATAAAAGCTGTGATGAGCTCTTTCACTTTGTGAAACAGCTATGTCACGGCTACCGACACCGACACCGACACTGACACCAACACCATTGCAGAGCCAAGGAAGAGGAGAAAACAAGAACTCTTAGAATCATTTGTTTTAATGTACATTACAACATTATATGTCCTTGAAATCCAAGACAGAGTAATCATCCATGAAAGAAGGTATTGTTACATCACTGAGACCTTTCAACTAAACCTAAACAATATGAACTTGACACTCAATTCTGTACACGTTACGGAAGGATTGATCTAAAGAAGTTAGCTTAGCTTATAGCTTATTTACAACAACTTAGAATAAGCACAGCAGTGCACATTCTTGATGAAAACCAACACTGCTACTAATTATTATTATAAGTAAACTCACCTGTCATTCTCTAAATATCTACAGCTTCCATATCCATGGAATCCATTTCTGATTTAACTCCATTGCTATTCTCATCATTTTCATCCTCACTATCACTACTACTATTATCACCTCCTCCATTATCGTCCTTCAAATTACGCCTACTGTTTTTCATGTCAACCACATCCTCCTCCTCACTCTGGTCATCTTCTAATGACGACATCGGCTGCTTCGGCCCATCCTTTACTTCACGAAGCTTTTCAAGACTAGCTAATGCAGTTTCCTCGAGCGTTTCCTCTTTAGTGTAACTAAGGTTAGTGCCAGCATTAACATCAATGCATGACATAGCTAAACTGCTGGATTTGACATGGGCGACAGACTTGGAACGTTCATCGTCTATTATATAACGGTCAGATATCAATGAAAGTATAGAAGGTTTTGCCTCAACATCAATCCAGCAGCCCCCAAACCAATCTCTTGATACTCGAAGATTGGTTCTATGTACATTCAAGAATAAGCTTTCACCTATTAACAGCAAAAAAAAATTGCATTGCAAAGAACCGCGACTAAATAACGGGAGATTTAGCTTAAAATCAATACTAAGGAAACAATTGCCTTGATGTTTTCTATAAGATTACCTGGAAAGTAGACATGCACAGCATCATTGCCTGAATCTAGGCCAGTAACTACTCCTTCCCACCACCCATCACTCCACCACGCATCGACAGCAACACCAATATCGAGAGTGAGCTCTATTTGCTCTTGAGGGACTGGTCTAGTAATCAGGCGGCCAGGGTGCCTCATGCCAAGTTTATCAGGTAGAGCAACTTTACAAGCAGGGACCCATTCCTATAAGCAGAAAAACTTGTCAGTTATCACTTTCGGTGGAAATTGCTTGTCAAGAAAGACATAGAGCAGTAAAGGCTACAAGTAAAATGCACTTGGAGAGCCTTGACTGCAACCCGACGCAAGTCGACCGAAAACAGAAAATTGTACATACACTACACAGCCTAGATAGTTTAGACTAAATCATTGACGCCATAGCCGTTCCATTGAAACTCTTCAACGTTACCTCAAGGTTGCCATAGCCATCCTCATCTTGCAGATCATCATATTGTACTCTAATATGTTTTGGTGATGCATACAAGACCGTACACCTGAACCAGCAGCCTCGAATGCCACTATCTTGACACAATAATTCTATCTTCTCATTGACATCATATGCTGGGTCATTATCCTCCAAAACATGTTTATGAGAAAGAAACCTGCCGCCTAAAAAGCTGTAATTATGCTTCTTGCAAGATTTATGGGCCAACATATGTCGACTACCGGACTTTCTAACTTTTGCATTTTCTAACTCAAATGTTCTACATCCTGTAGCATTCCTCATCCTTTTAACCTTCGGTCTAACAATATTTTCTGGGTCTAAATCTTCATCGTCTTCCCCAGTCAAACTATCAAAAATGGGCTCCGATTTCGATAATACATTGAGACTCAAACAAGAGAAGGCTGGCTGATCGTAATATCCACGCAGTTTACTCAGGTCAAAGGGTTTTAGTCGGTTGCTTTTGAACTGCCTATAGCAAAGATGAACTTTCGAAAGTGAATCATGGGGAAACGCATTCACACACTTTTCATAATGTTCACGATTTAAGACTGTTGCAGGACCATCAACACACTCAACACTAATGGTCTGCACATATGGTGTGATAAAAACTTCTCTTGGGTGAGAATTTCGTAACGCAATCACACCTTTCACCTCCTGACTATGATGAAACCACCTCACCTTCACCTTTTTCTGACCCCTCTTATCTTCGTACATGTCCTCCAGGTAAGCAAGATAGTGGTTTTCTCCCTTAGCCATGACATAAACAAAAGAATGTACCTAAATAGCATTGATAAGTAGGAGGAATGTCAAAATAGGAAAAGATCGGTAAATGCAGTATGTACCGTCTCAGATGATGCAAATACCAACATATATTATTTATAGATGATGCAAATACCGACGTTTATTATTTATAGACCATCAAACCACAACTTAAGGGTATCATAGAACAAATACAGCAAGAAAATATTGAAAGCTCTCTCTTATTTAACTCACATTAGTTTCAAGATGAAACATCATAGATTTAAACTTGGATGAAGTGAAAATTTCTAGCTGCAATGAATAAGCAAGAGTCCAGATAAGTTGAAGCAAAAACTGGAATCTAAATGATGTACAGAGATTTAAACTTGGAACATCATAGATTTAAACTTGGTTACTAATATTTAAACCTCATTAATCAACCATGACAACACCTTATCCTTTCGAGTGTAGACGCTTACCACGATTGAAGTCCCATTCCTGCAAAATGACGGGTAATGCTTGAGCCGTTTACCGCAGGTCCATGCAGCACCAGACCATACAATATCTGATGCAGGTCCCTTGGAATTCCTTGATGACCGAACCTAGGTCAAAATCAAAACCAAACTGAGGGATAATTTCCCAAAATTGTTTGAAAATAATCAATGAAAGGAAAGCCATTTACTTTATCATCTGGTACATCAGATTGTTGGAGAACTAGTCCACTATGTGAAAATTGAAGAGTTCCCAGTGTTTGTATTGCATCACATTTACAAGGCACTGCATAAAAAACTTCGTCAACATGCCAATACCAACAGTTTAATACAGTAAAACTACGGATTATAAAATGTTTTCAAAGACAACAAGTATCTTGATTGCCTCAAATCAACCAAGAAGCGTCACCTCATTGAAGTGAAACACATTTGACTAAGTAACTAAAATTCATAAATAATATGAATTTGTAACGTGTAAATAGCCATAGAATGTCAAAGCCTTGTCGCCATATTCAACCTAAGCATGGCAAGGAAAAGAAAATGATGGTATGTGGTTCATTGAATGTGAGATTGCATATCGATTGGAGAGGAGAACAAAACACCCTTTATAAGTGTGTGGAAACCTCTCCCTATCAGGCACGTTTTAAAACCTTGAGTGAAAGCCTGAAAGGGAAGCTCAGAGAGGACAATATCTGCTAGTGGTGGGCCTGGGCCGTTACAAATGGTATCAAAGCCAGACACTGGGCGATGTGACAACGAGGAGGTTGTTCCCCGAAGGGAGGTAAACATGAGGCGGTGTGTCAGCAAGGACGCTGGGCCCCGAAGGGGGGTGGATTTGGTGGTGTTCCCACATCGATTGGAGAAAGGAACAAGTGCCAACGAGTATGCTGGGCCCTAAAGAGGGTGGATTGTGAGATCCCACATCGATTGGAAAGGAGAACGAAATACTCTTTATAAGGGTGTGGAAACCTCTCCCTAGGAGACGCATTTTAAAAACCTTGAGGGAAAGCCCAAAGAGGACAAGGGCTTGGGTCGTTACATTGAACGTCCATGTATGGTTGACTTTGAGGCGAGTATGGTACTTTCTCGATTGAGCAAGTGTCGTTAATGACAATGGATCATGTGAATCATGTGAATCACGTGAAATGTGTTCGGCAACTGAATAATTTTCTACAAAAGAGAATATGCAAATACTCACAAAAGAAGACAGAGAACGAAAAGTGTATACTTTTGCAAATTCGAACAAGAATTCACAATGAATCTAAATGTCCAAAAGAAATAAAAGATAAGAACGAAAAAACCAAGACAAACCAGAATGATCTCCAGGAGAATGCTGCTTTGATAACATAGAAGTAAGCCAATCCACGACCTCTCGCCTCGACCTCCATTTGAAACCAGAATGGACAGAGTTTTCCTTCCCATGAGCTTGCAAAAACTCGTCTGCAACAACATAAAACATGTGTCTGACACTTCTCTCAGTCCCCACAACTGCAAGAATAGACTCTCCAGAAGAATCCTTCAAAAAATAATGAACCACGCGGTTTCCCCGTTCTTGCGAAACAAATTGCTCCTTCCACTCCACAAAATAGTTACCATGTCCCATCCTTTTGGCCAAGAACAGCATAAAATAATCAACAAGAACCTAAACTCAACTTCAATGCTAATTACATGAGCACAGGTCCATGACACAGCCAATGGACACAGAATCGTTCATCCCAAGAACTACTACACAAAATCAACCCGTTCTTGAATGTTGACCAGTCCATCAAGATTATCCAAGATACATAAGACCACAATTTCTCGGCTCAAATTGTTAGATCTCAAGTCAAAAAGGGAAAAACTGAGCAAATGATCCACGGGCAAATAAGCTACTACTGAATCCTAAAGCTTAGATGTATCATGGCAAGATCGGAAGCTAAATCCACAGTCAAAATACCCTAAATTATCACAATTTAATGAAATATCCAACTACAATAGAAGACCATAAACCCTAAAATCCACAAAAAAAAAATTCCTCAAACATCGAACAACAATGGCGGGAACAAGGAGGTAAGATTCGCCACAAATTGGGCAGAAACCCCCAAACGTATGAGATTTCTTCAAGCCCTCTGCACAAGAACTGGTTGCAGCCAGAAAACACCAAACAGGCGGCAAACCCTTTTGACTACATACAACCAGAGAGAATCCACGACGAATTAGACGGGAAAAAGAAATAGAAAACCACAATGACTTACGCAGGGAGGTCAAACTCCAACTTCGGGGCCGAAAACGTAAGATAAATAGAAAATTTGAAAGGTCCCCATATGTTTCAGAGATTCAACTGTGAAAATATCAAAAGGGGAAGGAGAAATACAAAAGAAAGAGAGCTCAGAAACGCCATGGACATGGGAAGGAGGAGAGTTCCATAGCAGTTGAGGGGAGAGAGAGGTCGGAGAAGAAGGGACTGGCAGCAGAACGATACTGATTGATGCCTTAGAGTCGGGTCCAACATCTTTTCTTCTTTTAGATTTTAGGTTGGTAATTTGAAAATTTTAGTTCGGTAATTATTATTATTTATTATTATTTATTTAATTATTTTAAAATATTCTACTTATCCACGTCTACCAGATATATTATATTAATAACAAAAATTTCATTATATAATAAGCTGTAACTTTATTTTCGAGTTGATCGGGTTAATCAGACAAAAAAATATATTAATAAATAAATTGTCTCGAATATAACCGAAAATTTTATAGTTTGGGTTTAAAAATCTGGTTTATTCGTCAGAATCTAATAAATATCTTGAATTTATGAAATTTAAATATGATTTAATTAAACTATATTTAAGCTTACACGTGGATTGATGAGCTAGAATTTTGAAAAATAAATGTGAAAATTAATTTAAATTATTTGAATTATAAATGTGAAATACATATAATATTTGTATTAAAGTGTGGATGAAAAAGTTGGTGTTAAAGAGGTTTTAATTATGATGACTTAATTAAATACCTACCAAATAATATCGATAATTAGAGGAAATAAATGTGAATTATTTAATTTAAAATGTACACGTTTAATACGAAAAACATGTTCTTGGAATATCTGGTTCATAATTTTGACAATCTCATAGAAATTACAATATTTCTCTCACGTCATCTTTATTAATGTTGAACACGGGTATTTAGATGAAAATAGTATGGCTCATACGGCCAACATATAGACCTTATTGGTGGATACATCTCGTTTGTCGATGGTCTGATTTTAAGATGGATAATAATAACTATCTGGTGGAAAGTCAAACCAGAAGTCGGTATGACCGGAACTTGAAGAATCATCATAATTTGTGTAAGAATAGCTACAGTGTTGTATTTTTTTATTGTTTTGTGTTCACCATTTCCGTAGTTGAAAGTAAGGAACTCACACGTGAATACGTCGAATAAAAATATCCTTTATCTCAACATCGATAGAACATTTTATCAATAGCAGAAATCTCATTCTCACCTTGTCGAGAGCGGTAATTTTCATCTTGGGTAATATGGTCAAATCCAATATCAAGAAAAATGAACTTGATTGTGATTGATTAGATTATCCTTCTCGAGCTTGGTAACCGAAGTTCCAACATTTGTATTAGATTGATAGCTATTTAGTTGGTTGTCGGACGTCCTAACTCTTCATTTATTACTTGCTCCACGTGTATACGGGTCTTTGCTTCTCGACGTTTGTATTCTTAAATTCATCATTCAAATATACCGTTAAATTCATTAAAAAAAATGGATAATTGTTATCATCATTTCGATCTACCACGATATCTACGGATTCATTATAACTTTTTTATACATGTCGACATTTCGCTCGATATTTAATACCTTGCTAAATATTACTGAGAGATTTATTTGCTTATTATTGTTGTTCCAAGTGTTCAAGTAGGCTTGTAGGTATCTCAATTAATCTCAGACATGTATTGTTTGACCTTCGTACCTTTAGTTACCAAATTTTTTTTTGTTATATTCTTGTGAGAGAAAAACGAGGTTTGGAACCTATTAACTCGAACCTAAGCGGGACAACAATTTTACGTTACTTGTTCTAATTCAGCAAATAAGTAAATCGTGTGAAATTTAGATTTCGATGACAATATCGACGTATACTCGAGTCTCAAGTCACATTTGAGAGAAATATTTTAGAAAACATGAGTAAGAAAATACGTTGAAAACAATTTTAAAGAAAACAATGTTATAAGTTAAAAGCAAGTAGGCAACAACACCTACGTATGACTCAACAAGAAATAGTAAAGACCTATCCAACATGAAATCAAGTAAAATGGGTTTGAAAGGGGTAGGCGGCATGAACAACGCGTCTTGAGCAACCGTGACTAGGACATCTGACATGTGGTTACAATAACATGTCTACAAATATGACCGTAATACCTAGAAATCTACCACCTATGTCATAGATTAAGGCCCAACTTAAGTAAAAAAAAAAAAAAAAAAAGAATAGCAATGCTAACAATAAGAACAAAGATGAAAGGAATAACATCGCAAAACTTTTAAGTATTCATAAACCTCTAAACCTATCATCACATATAATACATATGACAAAGACACTAAGGAAACAATGCTATCAAGTGCAAACTCTTCTATGCTAACAATCCAACTAACAGAGATTAATTAACACAAGCAACAGTTCAAATCCCACCATTTCAAATGGCCTTGGTTTGAAGAAAAGAACATACCTGGATATGTGTGTGTGTGGTAGTACTAGCGAATAGCCTCAGGAGAGCCAAAATCAGAAGACAATGGCGAAATGCGTAGTTCATGATCCTCCACTGTCTTAACCACCTCCTGTATCTTTTCCTGAGCCTCAGCCATGCTTGGCCTTTCTTCAGGGTAATTAGAGACACAATCTAAGGCAATAAGCAGAACAGAAAACGCCCATTTTCCGGCATTTCGAGCGACTTCCTCATCAAACACTTCACATGTCCACTCTTCTCTTACCTTGGCTCTTACCCACTTGGAGAGATTGATCCCATCTTTTGTTACCATTTTTCCTGTTAATAACTCGAGCAATATGATTCCGAAGCTATATACGTCAGCTTTCTCGGATAGTTTCTTCTCTGGGGCTGTATACCCCTTTGAGGAAAGAAGACGAGCTTGCTTCTGGTCTAGGAAGTTTGTGATCCCGTATTCGCTGATTTGTGGCTCGTTGTTTTCGTTTAAGAGAATGTTCGAAAGTTTTAGATTCCCATGCGGAATTGAGGCTTCTGCATTTGATCTTTGGTATATAAATCCCAAACCCTTTGCTATTCCACTAGCTATGGATAATCTAATCCTCCATGGGAATGCTTGCTTTCCTTCAATACAGCCTACAAATAACCCAAAAGTCATCTTAGTAAACAATTATCCCAAGAAATTCAATGGCTTTACAATAAATATTTGCTCATGTTAGCTTTGTTAATTGGTTTTAGAGTAAGTTTAAAAAAAAGTATAGAGTAGAGCCTCCACTAATTTTTGTTGAGGATTATTGAAAGGAGTAGTTCCACCTTGGCTAATTAAGAGGAAGATCATGGGTTTATAAGGAACACTATCTCCATTAGTATGAGACCTTTTGGAGAAACTAAAAGCAAAGTCACGAGAGTTTAAGCTCAAAATGAACAATATTATACCATTATGGAGAGTCGTGTTCAACTAACATGGTATCAGAGTCATGCCCTTAACTTAGCCATGCTAATCAAATCCTCAAGTGTTAAAGAACACTATCTCCATTAATATGAGGCCTTTTGGGAAAACCAAAAGCAAAGCCACGAGAGTTTAAGCTCAAAGTGGACAATATCATACAGTTTTGTCGGTTGAAAATTTCCCAACTAAAGTATACTGCACTCCAAATCAATTTATCAAATCTTAATTATAGGCTAATAGAAAAATGACATGGTAATCGACCTCTTCACAAACTGGAATCGGTTTGATCGAGGTAATTCCTAGGACTTTTCTTAACACTTTAAGGATTGTAAACTTTCACTTTATCAGAGATGCAAACGGCTATGTTTTGAGGAAATAAAATGAGAGTAAGAAAAGCTTTAGAAGGGTGTTGCAGTGTTTACTTACTTTCAAGAAGTTCATGCAGACTTCCCTTTCTCTGGTACTTGTAGATCAGTAGTTTCTCGTCATTTGCAGAATAATAACCCACAAGCGGCAAAATGTTTGGGTGCCGCAAGTTTCCTACTAGTCTCATGGTTTTACGAAATTCATCAAAGTTTATCTGCATTTTCCTCAATGTTTTGACAGCATAATATTGGCTCTTTAACCTAACCTTGAAAAGACTGGTGCAGATATTCAGACTTTGTAAATCTGCTGTTGCTTCAAGGAGGTCCTCCACTTTGAACCGTTCATCTTCTTCATTAAAGAACACGAGCTCTCGAAGGGCTTCATCTGGTCGCTCTACCTCACTAGACACGTTTGAAAGAACAACAATAGGAGGAGACTTCTGAAGGGTCTTCTTAGACATCTCCTTTTTAAGCGCCAACTTTGAAGCCCTCTTGCATACTAGGAATGAAAATATCAAACAAGTTACAGTACAGACAATAAGGATTACCAATAATATTATCCCTTTATGGTGAAGCCAGTGTGCTACCCCACCGCTATCAGACATGCTGCTTTGTGAGCTCGACGGGATTGTGTCCCGCAGAGCCATCCATGATCTTAGAGACTTCTTATGTTTGAACTCCTTGAATTGAGGCGAGACAGTAGTAAAGAGATTGTTAGAAATGTCTATTCTCCTGAGATTTTTGAGTTTAGGCAGACTAAAAGGTACCTCCCCACTCAAATTGTTGTTGCTGAGATTCAAGTGGGTGAGCCTTGTACAATGCACAATTGAATCAGGAATGTTTCCTTGAATGTTGTTCTTAGCCAGGTTAAGAACTCTAAGACGAGATAGATTGCAGACAGAATCTGCATCAATTCTTCCACTGAGGTTCAAGTTCTCAAGCCTGATTTCAACAATAGACCCCTGATGCCCATATTTTACACCCTTCACCTTATTCAACTGCAGGCGTAGCATCGATTCGTTCGTGCCAATCCCGAGAATGTCTTGTGGATCAATAGCTCTGATGAAACTGAGAAAAGCTCCAGATTCTGATAAATCACCATCCAAACAAGCTGTGAAAGATGGAGCATATACTGCAGCATAAAACAACCAGATCAGAAGCAAAATTGAACTCATGTCTCTCTGCATTTTTAGGGTCTTTGGGAGACTGGAAAATCTTTCAACTAAGCATGATGAGACTCAAAGCTGAAGAATCCAAATATTTAGGTATTATTTTCAACAACATGTGAGATTTCCAATGCGGCGATGCCCTGAATATTCAGCAGTAACGTTAACTTCTATGTGACAATCAATCATCAAAATCATTTTACACCATCTGATTCAATGCCCTAATTACCAATTGGTTTACCACATCAATTAATCAATTCAATTCCTTGAGATTACCTACACCACAACACGTATCAATTCTGATAAATCACCATCAATCCAATATCTAGAATTCATTTATAGTTTCAATGTAGGTTCAACTTAATAAATTGGCTGAAAATTTTCCATTAGTTGATCTGTAAGAACAAACCGAATTACTCACGGCATTGGACTTCTGCCATCTTCACCGCCTCGATCGAAACGTTTCAGTGTTTTCTTCTGTACTCTTTCAGATTTCCTCCAGTCCAAACTTCGTACAAATCTAAGCGTTCGACGTTTGTAAACGGCGATTATGCTGCCATTCTTCATCGTCCGCCGCAGCCCAACCCGACCTCCAAGAACTGCCGCTCGGCAATGTCGCGGCCGTTCGTGACGTTTCTCAGCTTCAGATGATTCCATGGCGCTTCTATTCCTTCAACCTGATCGGATAATCAGGGTACCTTTTTCACGGCAACGAAGCGGGTTAGCTCCGGACACTGGGGGTCAGCCAGTGGGATTCACCTCCACGATTGCCTCCGACTCCTCCTTGGAGCATACCAAAGTCATTTGTAAAGAACTTGTGGTCGGGGAGAACCGAACACCGTTTATAATGGTGTGGAAACATTCTTAGCGGTGAATCTGAACCGTTACAAATGGTATTAGAGCGATAATACATCAGCCTTCTCATTATTCTCTGAATGGGTAGACACGGGACAGTGTGTCAGTAAGGACGTCAAGCTCAAAGGGGTGGATTTGGTGGCTGTCCCACATCGATTGAAAGAAGATAAGACGGCTAATGAGAATGTTGGCCCCAGACGGGATTGTGATGTCCCACATTGGTTGGGGAGGAGAATAAAACATCTTTTATAACCGTGTGGAAACCTAAGAGAAAGATCATTTATGAGGGTGTGGAAACCTAAGGGACCAAACAGTAGACAATATCTAATATCGATAAACCTTCCCCTAACGGACACGCTTTTATACAGAACTTGTGCGTTTTTTAATCAGTGTCGGTAGGGTGAAGCAATACATTTAGGAGTTGCCAGCAACCACTAAAGTGTACTACTTGAAGGTCGAAGGCAAGAAAGCAAGCCCTAAAGTCAGAAATGGTAGGATAAGACAAGGCAGCTAGGCTGAAGACAAAGAAGTTTCATCAACTGTTGGATGATGAAAGTCTCACATCGGCTAATTTAGGGAATGATCATGGGTTTATAAGTGAGGAATACTAACTCCATTGGTTGAGGCCTTTTGGGGAGCCCAAAGCAAAGCCATGAGAGCTTATGCTCAAAGTAGACAATATCATACCATTGTGGAGAGTCGTGTTCATCTATCATGGTATCAGAGTCATGTCCTAAACTTACGCTTATCCTCTAATGTCGAACAAAGGACTCTAAAAAGAAAAAATGAGTCAAGCCTCCTCGAAAGTACGAAGGCAGTCAAAAATGACTAAGACTCCTTACTCCAAAGGAGTCGAGCCTCAATTAAGGGGAGGCGTGCTTTGTGTTGGAGGATGAAAGTCCCACATTTTTAAATTTTTTTAAAAAAAGCTTAATAATATTGAAAGTGGAACTAATATTAAGGATATTTATTAACTTAAAAAAAGAGTTTTTGAAATATTAAATAATTTTTTTTAAAAATTTAATATATTTTTAAAGTAAAGTATTTTATTACATATTTACTAATTTAGCTCAATAGGACATTTTTTTTTCTTTAATATAAATTTATAATTTCATCAAATTTAATAAAATTATTTTTTTATTTATTAAGTTCAAAACCCAACCCAATTTAACTTATTTATATTATGTTCGGTATAAATAAATGAATGAAACTTTATTATTTACTTTAAAATATACAATATAATGATTTAACTTTACAATTTATTATTATTTTTAAATATTTAAAAATAAATAAATAAATAATTGATGAACTAAAATCTTAATTTTAATAAAAATTATTTAGATCCAAAAGATTTACAATGGAATAAATAGTCAACTTAATGTAAAATGAAGTCTAATTAATGCATAAAATATAAGATTTGAATAAATATTAAAACTCAAATATTATTTTTTTAGTTTCATTAATTTCACAATAAAACTATATTATATTAAAATTAAAAATTTTAAAAATATTTTTTAAATAAAAATAAATTAAAAAATATTTCTATTAATTTAGCCCTAAATTTCATGAGAATGGATTAAAAAGGGGGTACCTTATCCCAAAAACATTTCTGGTAGAAATTTCCATTGAAATCTCTCGATGATCCGACCTACCCACGCTTTAATGGCGATTCCCTTAAGCAAGCCGTTCATGTAGAAGAAGACAGAAGGCCGAAGACGCTACAGGACGACCCACCAGCTACGCTCATCAACAACCCTTAAAGATGATGATTCTTCAGTATCTTCAATTTTGAGGGTTAGGGTTTTCTGCAACTCCAACAATTCCATCATTTTATTCAATTTCTTCTTCCAATTCCCCCAATGGCGGACCTCAAAGAGATCTCAGATGCGCTGAACCTCGTTGATTCCAAGACACAGAACTTGAAGAAAGCATTTGAAGACCTTCAAGGTCACTCCCATCTCCTCGATTCCTTTTCCCTCTCTTGGTCCGACCTCGAATCGCACTTCACTTCAATCCAGAACTCTCTCACAAAGAAATTCCACGAGCTTGAGTCTATGCAGTTGGAAGTGATTCAAAATCAACCAGAGGAGAAGGAGCCGTGTCCTTCATTGCGCGTGGAAGTGGGGAATCTGGACGAGCCGGATGGGAGTGCCGATTGTGTGTCGCCTCGGTCCGAGATGAAGCTTCTCTGTGAGCAAATGGACGGTAAGGGGCTGGGTAGATATGTTAGTGATTTGCCGAAGGAACGTGAATCAGTCAGGGATGAGCTCCCGGATGCACTTAAGTGTGCGCCGGATATAGAAGCTCTGGTTCTGGATGCAATGGAGGGATTCTTCCGTGCTAATCCAAAACCGAAGCTACATAACTTGAAAATGTCCAATGTGAGGAGAGGTTGTGTACTATTGTTGGAGACCCTGATGGATAGTTTTCGAAATGTAGACGATCATGTAACAGAAAGGGCGAAGAAACTGGCGCTGGATTGGAAACAAAGTTTTGGTAAACATGGGAAGGATCCGTTAGATGCATTAGGGTTTTTGCATTTGGTTGCAGCTTATAATTTGTCATCGGAATTTGAAGTGGGTGAGCTTGTTGATTATTTCATTATAATTGCTCGGTATCGGCAAGCTACAAAGTTGTGCAAAGTCGTTGGCTTGGGCGATAAAGTATATGGTTGGTATATTCTTTCGAAACATTGTTTTATTTGAATGAGAATTAACATGTAATTTAGCCTAGAAAATATTAAGTTGGTGTGAAAGAACTTCAGGGACGATGTAGACAGATCATAAATTTTGAAGTTAGTTTATCCTATCTCAGTTTGAAGATCAGTGTTGGGTGCTCGCATATTTTAGATTTTTATTATTTGTTGATCTCGTTATGTAGGCCATAGGGTGTTGCACGTGGTTGCGTGCATTTGTTATCATATTGCTTTGCTTTGTTACAGGAGAAAATTGTTCAAACTGATGAACAAGAAGTTCAAAAAACTTAATTTTGGTGGTGGAAAATCATAGTTTCGAAGACATTAGGATCTTAGGACTATTTCTTGGTATTGATCACAACACATGAAGCTTTATTTTGAAAAGGAACATGAAGTAGTTATATGTAAACATTTCATGTTGGTTGAGCATTATAAATTGAACGAATCGATCTTTAAGCATGTGCTAGAAGGTAAATATAGTAGGACAAGTACGACAAGAGAAGTGGAAGAGTTTGTAAGTGTTCATATATTTGCAAGCTTGCCTTTATATTAGATATCGACATTCTTTACAGTACTATGTTAGTGTATTAATGGATTGCTCTCTACTGAAATTGCAATATTCTTGGTGCTGTTCTTACAGATCTTGTTCAGAAACTGCTAGACAAGGGGAAACAACTTTTAGCTGTCAAATTCATCTTTGAGTTTGAGTTGACGGACAAGTTCCCACCCATTCCCATCTTAAAAGAGTATGTGAGGGAATCCAAGAAGGCAGCCAAGGCAGTTTGCAGGGCAGGAAAAAACTCTCTCAGAGCACTGGTATTTACATCCAATCCAACCTTATTTGCTATTTGATTTACTTACAAATTTGAGAGGAAAGAATTGTTCATTACTTTAATTTGTGGAAATGTTATCGAACAGAATGAGTCTACTGCGAAAGAACTAGGTGCTTTAAAATCTGTGGTCAAATTTATTGAAGAATACAAGCTTGATGATGATTATCCACAAGTGAACCTTCAAAAGCGTATTGATCAACTCGAGAAGCAGAGAACCCACAGGAAGCGCCCTGCGGTAGCTTCTCCTATTATTGCCAGACATAAACAGCCACACCAACCACTACAAGTGAAACAACGGTTCAAGAAACAGAAATTGCCGCCAAAGAAGCATATGCGACGGCATTTTCCAATTAATCACCTGCACATGGCTGGTCCAGGTGGCTCTGCAGCAGTTCCAAATATTGTTGGTTTTGGGAATCCAGCTTATCCCCCATACCGGCAAACACACTTACATTCTGCAGGTTTGGTAGCTGATCTTACTGCTCCTTATCAACAATCTCTTCTACAGCCAGCAGGTTTGTTGCCAAATCATCCTGTTTCATATGCACAATCACATCTACAGCCAGCAGGTGTGTTGCCAGATCAATCTGCTCCTTTTGAGAGCTCATCTATGGCTTATAATATGGCTGTGGCAGCGTCCACTCCAGCTGGTGCCTCTTATCATGGCTCATCAGCTGAGTATTATGGTTTGGCAGGAGGCCCCATGGGTTTTCCTGGAAATGCATCCACCTCTAATTCTCACGCATACCCAACAGAACCATATGCACCACCTGGATATGGTGTGGGTGTGCCTCCACCCTACCACCAATCTTACTATCCCCAGTAGTTTTTAAATTGTCTTATGATAATATACTTTTCGTATCATCTGACTATGGTGGGATATAACAGGAACATGGCATCGACCATCTTCCTATCTTTAGTAGTACTATCCATGCCTTTGGTTTGTTCTTCTCATAGTACGGTTGAAATGTTTAACTTTTTCCTGACTTTGGCACAGAGTGCCACTACCATTAGAAGGCA